GAAATAAGTTGGATAATATTGGTCAAAATATCTCACTGTATATATATATATATATATATAATTGCGGACAAAAAAAAACAAAAATTTAATTTCATAATAAATCGATCAAGATTAATATAAATATGTAAGTATATTTGAATATTTATAATTGTTTCATTAATATGAAAATAAAAATAACATTCACGCATATGTTTCATTTACGTAGATTTAGAAATTGTCAAAATTGTACTCTTTTTACTTGAAAAAGTAAAAAACTTGTCTATTCCATTGTACTCTAATTGTAATAAGCTTTATCTTATTGTGATATCTTAAAAATTATTTCTAAATACAAAAATTTCTAATCCTCGTTGAACTCATAAAGAAATAATTCAATGTGTTACCCAATAATAAAATCCACCGAATATTTTCTTATTTCTTCTTTTATTATTACTATTATTATCATTATTTCAATCGTGTTTGATTAAAATGTCAAGCTCGTTATCTTACGCACTCGATAGACGTTTATCTCGCTTCATAAATAATACGATTCAATCAAACGTCAATAAGATTGTCGATCGTTCACCTAGTTCTTACAATGATCTTTCATTTATTTTTTATTTTCCTTATCGTACAGTATTAAAATCTGAAAAAAAATAGTAAATACTTTGTTGACATCGGCGGTGAGAAAATGGAATAGTCTACTCGTTCCCTTTTTACCCTTCCACCCCTTTCTCGCCATCTTCTATTGACCGAAAAAAAAGTTATAGAGACGGACCATAAACGGTGGATTTTTATGCTGATCTGCCCAACAAACAGCCTCGAACGAGGGAATTTTCGACTGGGTACGACAAAATTTTGATGTTTGTGCAAACTCCTCCGCATACCAAGCAGTGATCGGGATTCCCGCATCCGGAATTCCTTCCGCGAATTTTCTTTTCTCCCTGATCTCGTTCCGATTTCAACGATTTCCATCTTATTTTACCGATAAATATGACCAAACGTTAAGATTTACATTCGACCAGATATATATTTAACGAAACTTAATAAAGAAAATAGGTTTTCAAAATCTTCAAATTTCATCTTGATAAGATAAAATGCTAGAAACCAAAATTTCTATACTAATACTAATTGTAAGTCTATCTAATAAATTAATTTCCATGAATTTCATCGAATATTTCAATTGTTTAATATTAAATGATATTTTGCACGAACTTTTAAGCACACTTATATTTTTCTTATTAATTTTTAAAATAATGAAATTTCAATCCTGGCGCATAATTCATTAACGTAACTTTATTTCCATGATAAATTAAAAGAGTTACTAAAACTAATTCATCGCGTTGGAATTTTTGGCGAATAAGCAAGAGCTTTTAACGCGTTCAAGGATTGCCGAAAAACGGTCACTGTGAAAAGGCTCGTTTTATAACGTAGCGGACAATATAACTAGCTGTTAAAGGAAAATTAACTTTACTTGTGAAAACGTCAATACCATGTGTCATTGCATATCCGATGACCTTCGCGTGTACGAAATTTCTGTATGCAAAAAGCTTTATTGACCTATCGATAAGTAAGAAATCGATCGTAAAATCTATTCTGATACCATTCCCATAAAAAATATATGATAATGATAATAATACTTATACAAGATTTCTAAAAGAAGAGAAAACAAATTGATTTAAAGAAAAATTATCTCATGAATTAACTAACACTAAAGTTAATCATTTTCAAATACGTTTAAATAAGAAAAGTTTTTGTAGACGATCTATAAATATATTTTAACTATATACTTTTGATGTTTCGATTATCCTCATCAAATTTTTTACTTTTTCTTTTATTTTATTTTCACTTTCCAATTTGCTAGGAAAAACTGGAAGTTTGTTTTGTTAAGTTACGCCTATGTCTCTTAAAGTTGTGGCCAGTGACGTGCTATTATACGAACAATTCAAATTTAATGTCTCTTTTATGCCTTTCATCCTACCATCTTTCTGCCTCTCTTTCTCTCTTTTTTTCTCTTTTTTTCTGATGTGTGTGTGTGTATGCGCGCACTTACTCTACCAATGCATTCTATGATGATTCTTATCCCGAGATTGCAACTTCCAAAGGAGCAACGACGTGCTCCCTTCTGGCCCAGTTTGAAAAAAGATGTGCCCTCCATCAGTCTCGATTCATCTTTAGATAACGCGTATGTCAACTCAGAAAGGGAAAAAAAAGGGTTGAACCTTGACCTAAACTTGGAATTACTCTGTGTACGAACATAAACAAAACGTAAATCTCTACGTTTCAAGATTTCACTTATTTTACTTAATTATTTCATTAAAATAATGCACACACGAATCCGGTTAAAGAGAATCAGAAAAATATTCCAACAGCTTTTGTAATGAAATGAAATGAAATTATTTCTAAAGAAGGGAAAAATGTAAGAGTGTTCTCTGAATGTTTGCTACGAATACTTTCAAATTATTAAAAACAAATATGACGAAAAATATCAACAAGTAGGATCGATTAATGCGTAGAAAAAAGTTTCTTTAAAAAATGATCTTGGAGAAAAATGATCTTACCGCTACACGTGTCCTTTTAAATAGTCTAACTTTATTCTAAAGACTTTTTTCACTTTTTTTTTCCCACTCTGTGTATACAATTTTATAATATAATTAAAATTGAAAGCAAGTATAAAGAAAATATTTCAATATATATACTTAAAAGAATAATAATAATTTTTCGTTACGGTAACGATAATAATTATACAAAATAAATATGATTGAAATGTTGCCTAAAAAGTTTCTTGAAAATAGAAACTAACTAGAACATATATCCATTTGTAATCTTGGGAAAAAAAGAAAAGAATCGAAACGTGTATTCTCGGTTTAGTTTCCAACGAGGATTCATCGTTTTTACCTACCACGACACACACACACACAAAAAATCCCTTTCTATTACGAAGACGAATGTACGGAATTAAGGAGGAAAATTTAAACGCCTTACCCATTTATACGAGAACTTCAAAATTATTTACAATTTCGCTTCGTTCACTATTCACGGCTTAATGGAAATATTAGAACGTGGCATGCCTACATTTTCCAATCTCTCTTTCTTATTTTCTGCTTTTGTTATTTCAGGAAATATTTTCGTTTGTAATAATCTAAGAATAAAAAAAGATTTTCCTCGTTCTATTTATCTGAATTTTAATCAAGCGAAAGCACACACAATATGCGAAAGAAACATTATATTTCTTACGATTATCAACTAGTATAATATTTCCGAATTAGTAATAAATATAGTGCACTAGTAATAAATCCGAATTATGATTTTGAAGAAGGAAGAAAAAGAAGTGAAAAGGAATTGACGTTTATTTCAAATTTATGCAAATTCGAAATCAATAAGAACGAACGAATTCTGGAAAAGCCTTTGTAAAAATATTCCAGTCTGACTTTTACATTATAACATCGTTCTTCTTACCATCAGGTTGAACTTTCTTATTTTGACGTTTAAGCTCATTGATATTTTCTTCATTTCTATTTTAGATAATATCTTAAATCTATTTTAGATTAGACACATCCAACCGGCATACATTAAGAAAACTTTTACATTATTTATTGCATAGAAAAACTTTTTATATAACAAACGTACTTTTCAAATAAACTTTCTTATGACTTATTCAAATCTTTAATGATCTTTAATGTTAAATTTATCAAATAAAATATTGAAAAAACCAGACAGCATATAATTACCACGATGTTCCGCAGAAAACTACAAATAAAATTGTCACTTCAAAAAAAAGAAACAAATTTTAAGATAAAATAAATACAAAGTAGTGAAATAATGTAACTAAAACAAAAAATTTAAGATTATAACGTTCTGATTTTAGCAACTTTTTCATTTTTATATAATTATTTTAACGCTCCTGTGCAGTGATCACTTCGAGGGTAAAATTTAGCTGTAATGTAAGTAGAGTGCATTAGAATATTAAAATAATTGTTAATTAATCGATAGAAGTGTCTATTGTTGTTTAAAAGCTCAGAATATATGATCTGTGTACCCAACCCTTCGAGATCCACCGTTGAACTGAGTCATTGTCTTCTATGAAATTTCTTTTATTAAATATTGTTTATATGACTTGCCGGAGGCTACATATATGTATAACAAAAGTAATATGCGCAGTAAATCAAATTTGTTCCTTCGGAAAGTCATATAAACGATATTTAATAAAAGAAATTTCATAGAGGACAATGACTCAATTCAACGGTGGATTTCGAAGGGGACGGTACATAGATCATATATTCCGAGCTTTTAGACAACAATAGACACTTCTATCGATTAATTTATAATTATTTTAATATTCTAATGCACTCTACTTACATTACAGCTAAATTTTACCCTCAAAGTCATCACTGCGCAGGAGCGTTAAAATAATTATATAAAAATTAAGATATTCGTCGTACAGACACACGAAACATAAATTTTTTCGACATGTACTGCATTTTATGAATGCAGACTTCTCACACGTACACGGTTTTTTCAAAAAAATTGTTAGATTTAACAACAATCCTTTGAAATTTTCTTCTATATGAACGCCTTAAATGACTACTTTTTAAAATATATGTATAAATGCATTTCTGAAGGCACGCACATGTTTATACACTAAAAATTAAATACCGTCATCGCGTTAAGTACCTACTATCGCCCACTGGTGGTCCCGGTAATAACTAAGATAATTCTGATTAGATAAAAGAGGAGACTTGTGAGCGCCGTAGGAACACTGGCAAGGAACCTAAAGAGCAGAAAAAATGAATAAGTGCTCTTAATTACTCATTAAAATCTCAATCAAAATCCGTAATTGCTCACTTTATTAATTAATTATTTAATTAGTTATAATTAATTGAAAATAGAAAAATTTTTTTTCCTGTTTCTAAGCAAAGCAACGAAGTTTGCCAGCGTTCCTACGATCTTGTGAGCGCTATGTATTTCTGTATTTTTTGCAACCTGATGCAACAGATGTCACTGCACTTTACAAGAACATTGCAGTAATAATTGCAATGTTTGAAGATAGTCGATGGTAAAAAGATAAATTTTTGACAGTAGCAGTACGAAAAAGATAATAATTACGAAATAATTGTACACATACATATACTACAGTATTAGAAAATAAAGTAATAACAAAGACAGCATAACGGTTTAATAGCATCAATCGTATTAGAATATGTGTCAAAACGCTTGCGTATTTTCCTATTATTGATTAAATGTACTTTTGTAAGCAATTGGTATGGTTTTCGACCGGTAAACCGGATGGTACTATGATTTTGAATCATAATGCGTCATTTGAAAAGAATTTATCTTGAACTAATGCACGTAAAAAAAATCTATGATATGACTTCGTATTGGACGTGACAACAATTATTCTAAAGTTCTGTAATCGTACGATAAAAAAACGTGCAATGCCTTTAACTACGATTTATTAAGTGTCAGCATATATATATTTACTAATTGAATGAGATAATAAGTTGCCTCAATAGTAAAAATATTGGAAATAAAAATTGTGATTTTTATAACGATATATAAAAAAGAGTAACTACGTACTTGCAAAATGGGTTCCGAACAAAGCTCGCAGAGCGGTACTCAGAGCACCAGTAACAATAGAGCAAGAGCGGGACAACTTCGTCGTGGTAAAAGTGTTCCAAACAGCGAAAGAGTACCAGAAGATACTCCACCAAGATGTATAAGCCCTGGTGCAAGCATTTGTTCTGACTCAGATTTACCATATATATCTTACACTGTAAATAGACCTATCGGAGATTCTCCAAAAATGAGCAACAAACAGTTACAGTTGTACAGAGGAAAAAGCTTAGGTGCACAGGATATATCGAGGAGGAGAAACAGTTTGAGTAGTCATAGGTATGTATATAATAATTGAAAGCTTATCATTAAAACTATTTTTTCGTTTATGAAATGCTTCTTCCATTAACAGTCATAGAAAACCATTGTCCGACAAACTTCACAATATTGTCGTTGTAAAGCCAGCTGCATCGGATCCTAGCACCGAAAAAGATCCAGATCTAGTCAAATTACAAAGTATTCCCATGTTTCTACCAATAATGCGTGGGACTTTGAATCTACCGCCAGGAGTACGAGATCCAGAGGTTCTTGAAAGATTAGATCCCATTGGATTGTTCAATGTATGCGCCCGATATCAACATCACCTTAATACTAATGCACAGATGATAGCTGGAGAACAAGCAGCTCTATGCATTAATCTCGAAGCCGAAGTTAATAGAATTTTGGGTCTAGCCGTAGAAAGACAAAAAAAATTTACCAAGTTTGCGGAACAACTAAACAAAGTACACGAACTTAGCAGACAACTGACCAAATGTCATTCTCTTCTTAATCAGACTTTAGAAAGTCTTGAAACACTTAATAACTTCTTACCAATAGAAGACAGATTAGAACCATTTGTATGGACGACAGGATAAATACAAATATACCAATAATCAAATCTTATAGGTCAAAAAATATTCTTTTTAACTTGATGCATTACGTACAAAGATTTAAATTTTAGAAATGCCTACATAGTTCTATCCTCTAACTATAAACTAAATTCCTATTGGGAACTAGATTGGAGTAGATTAAATATGAACAAATTTATATAACTATAAAAAATTTGAATCGTTGAAACATTTTAGATGACAAGGTCTACCTACACATTGTATTTAATCACATAGATTTCTAACATTTACACCAATGTATATTGTATATAATGCACTTAATCTTGAAAAAAAAACAGGGATCTGTATGATACTTCTATTTTCATGTGAATTCTAATAACTACAAAGAAAAATACAGAGAAATTTAAAGAATATAATTAGATTTTTTTTAAATAATATGAATTATGCGCATATATTAAGAATGATAGAATACTGAGGAATCTAATTTATTTAAAAGAACGAAAAAATCATTCTCCTTACGACTTCTTAACAAATTGTTAGAGATATTATAAAAATGTGTCTCTGTATATATATATATATATATGTATATATATACATGTATATTTAAGTGTTAAAAAATAAAACAAAGGATAAATAAATTTTGAATCATTTATATATTTTTTTTATATATATATATATTTAAATACGTACCCTAAGTATCAACATCAGCAGATCGCTTAGCTTTCAACTGTCTGTATGCTGCAATTACACTACTCTGTTCTTTTTCTAGTTGTCTCCTTTCACTAGCTGGTAGATTTTTACGTTTACCGGATCTATCAATGATGACTGATTTTGTGGAATTATTATTGGATGAATCGTTCTTTGTGAATAATGAATTTAGAAGCAAATTTCTCTTTCCTGGCTATTAGAGAAAAATTTCAAACAATAAAATTAAAAAATACAGCAATACTTCAATTTTAGAACATAGAAATATGCTTGTAGAATACATTTAAATTAAAATGATAAGAATACCTTGACGCTATCTGCCACCACAGCTTTTCTCGGTTTTGTAATTAATACAGGAGGTGCATGCACTGTTTCTCCAAATTGAACTTCATCTTGAAAAGTTTGAAAATTGTCGATCAAATCTTCCTCCTTTTTTTTTTTCTTAATCTGTAACTTCTGTCTTCTCTTTTGTGATTTGGTAAGATTCATATCACCTTCCTCTTCCTTAACCTTCTTCTTTTTTTTAATATTTTTATGTTTCGCTCTTAACTTTTCTAACTCGTCCAACTCATCCTTAGGCTGTTTGGATAAACCCTCTACTTCTCCGGTCTCAGTATTTCTATTTACAAGGACATTGTACTTTTTTTCGAAGGCAGTTTCATTGATAAACGCATGAGTTTCTTGACTAACACGATACAAAAATTTGTTATGACTTTCTCCAGGTTTTTGTTGAAATATTGGAACCGCTTTTTCCGGTTTTGATTTAGGATGCACCGATTTTGGTTTCTCACCGCCCACGCATATCAATCTATTTTTCTTCTTTTTCCTTGATTTCTTCACTTTATTTATTCTACCTGATTTCACAGCTTCCTTAAGCCTAATAAGTTTTTCCAAACTTTTCGGTATCGCTTGTTCCCGGACATCCTTCGGCGGTGCATTTATTTTCGTTTCTAACCTACAAGCACAATATCAACACAACAATATTTTTAGCATCCTAGACGTAAATGCAACAGATGATTTACTCGAAAGCTAACTCACTCGGCTAATCGTCTAGCACGCTGTTTCTCTGGATCCTTAATGCCACGATGTTTCTTCCCCGGAATTTTGCGACCCATTGTTAGAAATAATATTTATTAAATATTTTCTAAATAATAATAGTCTGAGATATAAAGTAAATCCACGTGGATAATATTACAACCTAATCCTAGTATACACATGTAAACAAGTATAAATTTTAATAAACTCTTAAGTTATCTATTAAGATTTATTTCTGTGTGTGTGAGTGTAGCGTATAAATATAAATTAATACAAAATATTCTTAATTACATTGAGATAATATTATTAAAATTTTTCTCGTAGGAAATTAATTTTGAAAACGAATATTAAGTAAATGACGCCAGATGGCTCTGCAAGACTAAACTGATTTTTCTCACGTAATTACATTACAAATGTGTACTTGTTAATTATTGTTTATGACGATAAAAAGCGAAAGTACTGTGATTCTAGAAAAAAAATATTCTTCCTTAAAAACATTTTCTTCAGCTTCTTTTCTAAGTATATATTTGTAGAGAATAAATATAAATGTAATGAATCAAACAACAAATCAATTCTATATTTAATATAAAAACAATCACTTAGATGGTCTTCTAACCAAAACGAGTATGAATCTGGTTCGTTGGAAAGTTCATTCTGTCAAAAAACAACTTTATAATAATTGGAAGGGCGTACTCATGACTTTGAGACTATGTTCTAGCGATAACCAAAGTACAAGGATGTGTAATGAAAAAATTGAAGATCAAGAAAAATCTGATGATTCCCTCTCTTTAGAGGAACTCACAGAACCTACCAACTGCTGTATGTCTGGTTGTACTAATTGCGTTTGGATTCAATACGTAGAAAAGTTGTCTAGTAAGCTAGAAGTTAGTAACATGGATGTACAAAAAGAAATTTTGGAGAAAATTCAAGATCCAAATATGAAGGCGTTTCTTTCTATGGAATTAAGGTGTCGGAATTTAATAAAATAGTAATTATTTATAACAATTCATAGTTTAAAAGTTTGTACATACACTGTCTTATTTAGATTTGAAATTAAATAGAAGAGAAGAGTTATTTTTATACTTCGTATTAATACCATTCCTGCTTTTCGTTTTTTTCTATTTATAGATGCAATTATATTTTTTTTTCTTCCTCTGGTACCACATCAGGTTCTCTTAATGTTGACGAATTATTTATTTAAATTAATTAATTACAAATATTTTTGGTAAAAATTTCGACGTAGACAAAAATATTTTGTACTTGTTGGAACGTACATAACGTACCATCTAGCGTTAAATTTCGAAAGCTGTTTGAACGAGCGCCGATGAAAAATAAAATTATCGATATAAAAAAAATCAAAAATTTAAAATTGATATTATAAATAAATGAATGATATATACAATTATATTGTTAACGTCTAAGAAACTCAAAGTATGAATGTTGAACAATAAGATTGCGTGAAATTTTTTCGTACACGAGTTTAATTATTTTCGAATAAAAAAATAATTAATTTTCGAAATCAAATGTTGTTCACTTTTAAATGTTACTTTTTTTTTGTATCGATGGCGTTCTCGATCGTCGTAAGTAGGAACGTTAAACTAGTTATGTTTCCATTCATGTTGTATGGATGTATATAAAGCTACTTGTGTCGTTCACGTCAGTAATGAGAACGTATTTTCTGTTTCGTACGTTTTGCTAATTTAAAGAATATACTTGATTATTGTTTGTTCTTTTGTACTTTATACTTATTACTTTGACGAGTTAATTTTAATGATAGATAGAGTGAAGAAAAAATAGACCGCATAGTCGTAAAAATTCAACACGAGAGTGTTTTACATATTTGTTACAAATATATTAGGAAGATGATAAAAAAGTTAATATAAATTAAAAATGAACATACTGAAACAAAGTAAACTTAGAAACAACTTGCTATATTAGCGTGAAGAAAAATAACAATTGAAATAACTGTTATACTTCTTTAAAAGCCTATCTCTAATGAGTAATAGATAAGTATTTAAGTTAAGTATTTAAGCTTAGTTAACCATACAAAAAGTCATTTACGAATACCGTTAGAGGAATCCAGCAGTATCAAGATGGAAAGGAGAACAGGATTAAAAAAGTTCATTAGGTTCGCGGAGTTAAACGACGTTAGATGAAAATACGCGTATGGTAATAGTATAAACAAATTGTAAACGTATAAACAGGTAAACAAAAAAAAAAGGTGATCGAGTAAAAGAACGGATTATTAGATAACTTGGAAAAGGAAGGAAAAAAAAGTAAAAAAATTAAACCCACGTGGTTGGCGATAAAAGCCCGACTGATCCGTTCACGCGTGGGTGTACGCACGCATGCACGCACGCGTACCGAATGCAACCGAGTGTGAACGAACACTTACGAGCGCGTAAGATAGCGACACGCGCGCGTAGAAAGAACGAAAAGATAATAAGAGAAAGAGAGAGAGAAAGAGGATTATTTTCGCTTTTGCCGGCACACGTATCTAAAGAGTCCACGCACTTACTTACGTATTCGCGTGTTCTAGAAGCATGAACAACTTTTCTTCGTCGCGTCACTGCGTTGGTTTTTCTTGTACGATACTACGCGACGACGACGACGACGACGACGACGACGACGACGACGACGACATATGTAACCGAATAGATTGACTATATCGTTATGATTAAGTATATATGCCGCGTGATTATGAATCTCGACGCGTCATGACGCGAAATTGGTGACGGAACGTGACTTTCGAAAACAACAAAAATATAATAAAACATCGCATCGAGAGAAAAAATATAAGAAGAAAAATCATTTTCCAACGTTCTTACTTATTATACTTATCTAGTAAAGAAAGACTAAAAGCAAATGTGAAAAGGTAATGGTGTGCTGTTGTTTTTTTTATTTTCTTTATTTTTTTCTTCTTACGGAATGTGTGTAGAAAATATCTTTGGATAGATCGAAGTCAATAGTGCGTAGAGAATTTAAAGAAAGAGGTGGAGAAGAAGGATGAACGGAAGTAGCGGTTTCTTTTCGCGATTCTGATCCGAGTGTAAGATAAATTCTTACTTACCTTCCTAAGAGTTCAACGCCGGTTAGTCTTTACTTCGTTGCTATTACTTTTAGTTACTTCAAAGTGTTATTGTGTACATACCTATCGTTTTCTTATCTTTTTAACCTGTTTCTTTTTTTTTTCCTTTTCAAATGATATCACTTTATCCATTTCGTACTTTAGTAGTTTTTAATTGCGCGCGGGCGCCATTTCTTTTTTCCTTCAATTTTGTAATAAACGAAAACCCACGATGAATTTACGAAGATTAATTTCATTTTGATGAGATTTTGTTGTTGATCGCTGCATTAGACGAAGCTAGAACAAATCGAGAATTCGAATAATTAAATATCAGAGTCGATCGTGATATCGATTATTGAAATAATTTATTGAATATAATTTTATTATAGATCGAACAATTTTTAGATTATTTTTTGTCAATGTTCGAATAAAATCTAAATCTCCTCAAAATTTGTAATCAATTTATAAAGACAAATGTTAAATGATAAGAGAAAAATCAATAAAATATATTTGAAGGATCTTCTGTGACGTTGACATATGCAATCATTGTTCTTATCAAAAAATTGTTCAAGGGTGTGTTAGATTATTGTGATCGAATAAAAAAGAAGAACAAAATTAAAAAAAATGAAGAACGAGGAGAGTGTAGAGCAAGGTGAACGATGGACGTTTCATAGTTGGTGTAGTTGATTATTAGGATATACAGAGAAAGATAATTAGATTCTAAGTAGATAACTAATAGATATTCGAATGTGTTCATAATTATAATGAACAAGAGGGAACACATGGTGTATAAATAAATAAATATATAAATAAATTAACGACACACGAGAGAGAGAGTATTATGAGTGAATATGAAAAATATTGGAATAGTGTCAAATAATATAAGCAAGTGAACTGAGGGAAAGATAAGAAATAAAAAAGAGGGAAAGAAAGAGAAAGAAAGGAAGAAGGAAAGAAAGGAAGATGGAGGATTGAGAGGATCACGAAATGCCGACAATCGAAAGGCTCGCAACAAAGAGAAACGCGAACGAAGAATCAGACAAGAATTCAACAAGTGATATTAATACGGGCCAAGCTAACGATTTGAATTTATCCGAATTTTTGAGACCTTGTGTAGATGGTCGTGAGACCATTGAAGAATCCTGCCTCGAGGAAACCGGAAGACACCATTCATCGAGAGAGAAACGTAGTCTTCTTGGTAATTTTCAAAGAAGAGCCTTCAACAGGATCAGCTTCAGAGGAGAATCCGGACCTCTTTTAACCAGGTTAGTAAAGGTTTCTGTAATTTCGGTATTTTTAGTTTTATCGTTTCAAGCTTATGCTGAAAGATGTTTACTTATTTTTGGAATATACATCAAAAAATAATTTAAACGGTTCTTTTCTATTCTATAATCTTTTATAATGATTGATTTTATTAATAACAAAAATTGAAGAATTCCTTTTAGGCAATCTGTAATAATATATACATACAAAGTAAGGAAGATTTATTATCATTATTATTCATATTAAGTGTATCATAAGGAAATTATTCAGAAATTTCTAATCCTATTTAGTTTTGTTAGTATGTTGAATGAGATCAAATAAGTATGGATAATTTATAAATTATAGGGAGAAAAAGAGGGAATTTGTTGACTATTTAAAATATTAAAGTTATCTTTAAACTTGACCTTAACTTCCAATTATCACAATGGCCGTAAATTATTATATGACCATGACTGGAAGAAAAAGAAAGAAGAAAAAAAACAAGAAGAAAAAAAGGAAATAAATAGGAAACATTTAGAATTATTAGATCTTATCGCGAAACTTTTTATAAATACTATATAATGAGTTGAGTAGAATAGTATGCTAAATATCCTCATACTGTTCACATTCAATCATAAGTTGTCACGACGAGAAATGAAGATTTGTTACTTTCGATACAATTATTTTGGAATGTAAGTACTAGTAGAAAATATGAGAGGACATTTGTAGTAGCGACCACATTTTTAGCATGATAAAACACATTTTAATCTGATAGACCGTTTCCTGTTTATTTATCGTATTTAATTTATTATTATTTTATTTTACATACATTTTAATATTATATCGTTTTCGATGTTAATATTCGCGCACAGTATATTTAATTTATTCAATTATTTATTCATTTTATTAAAAAGTAAATGTGTTTTCCAATAAATATATTATTAATATTATTATAATGATAACAAAATGAAAAATATGTAAAAAATCCTTGTACTCGCTTGGTATTTATCGTTACCGCAACGAGGAATAATGGAAGCAACAATTGTTAGTTCATCATCATGGTCATTGATAAATAATTTCCGTAATGATAAGAATTCAAATAAGTAGGTTAATTTGAGTTTTATTGCGTGCGCGAAAGTCCCGTTAAATTTTTAAAATTCATGATCTTTAATAAAAAGGAATATTCGAATTTTTCTGAACTCATCGATGACCATTATCACTCGTGCATTATGCGTTTTCCTTTTTTCTTTGTATCTTTTGTTCCTTTTTATTTACTTCCTCATTATTTCACAGTTTATCGTAGTATTAAAAAGAAAATTAATTGTAGGTAGCATGTCATAAATATAATACTTCTAATTAATATTATTGGAGAATACGAGAAACGTATTCATTATCAACGAGAGTGTAATATTCGATTTTGACTGAACTTGTAATTTATATTTATTGAATTGCATTATCATAAGCACGTGATAACGACGGAAATGTTTCTATATACGTCGTATGATATCATCATTTAATACCATATTTACTCCTCACAAAATAACTCAATAAAAACTGCAGAAAAAACGTATTTTTAATTTTTCATCGTTACTGCAACCAAAAATTCCATATATATTTTAATTATTAACATACTGGACCTTTTTTTTGTACGATATTTTCTTATGCGATTCACATATTTCTTTTTTTCTTGTAAATCAATTCTAACGCGTGACTTTCTTTTACAAATATTTTTCTTAACCGTAAGCATCTATCGTGTAAAAAGAAGTCCAGATGTACATCTTTTCGTATTGACCGTTGACTGATCGAAAGACCGATGATTGTATTTGGATTATTATTATAGTAAAAAGGGTAAATGTCAAAGTTTTAGGAAGTGGGAGAGACATTGTCTTAGAGGCACCGAGTTGGAAGAATTTTCGTCGATAAGTTCAAAAATACTTTGCCGTTGAAAGATCTAGATCACAATGCGTTTTATGAACTCCGCGAAAATAGCATCGCGATGTTCCCATTTCCCTACCATCCACGGCGGAAGTCTTTCTTTTGCTTGACGAGAATAGAAGTCTCTAATTGCGGAAACCGTGGCAGGCCAAAGAATATTAGGGAATCCCGTCTTCCCTTGTTTTACGTCCGAAACACTTTGAAAATGTTTGTATTTAGACGATACTTTGTTACTAGTAAATCTTATTCTACAAAGAGAAAGGAATTTTATTCGATGGAAAAGAAAATAATTGATCGTTAATAGATTTGTTGTCGTTAATAGATTTACAATGATGTACCTGTTAAAAGAAAAACAAAATATATCATTTAAATGACGATTGAAAATAATCAAAAGAAAAAAATATCTGACCGTCGATCGTTTAAAAATGTTCATTTGTAACAAATGATGTTACGTTCAATTATATTGTAATAAGAATTGTAAGTTGCAAAGTACTTCTCAATTGCCGGAATGAATTCTCGGCAAAGAATTGAACTCGAAGAAAAATTTCCAAATAATGTTCTTGGCCTAGAAAACGACAAAACTGTCGGCCACGAAAATCGTATCGTTTGTTAACGAGCCAGTGCCAAATCGCGAAAGATTTCGCGTGAAAAGCTTTGCGAGTTGTATTTCGTCCGATGTTAAATGAAATACGGCCGCTTAAGATCCTTTGTCTCTTTGTCCATTACAGTAAAATATAATCCAACGAAATAATATTATTAGAGCGTGTCGTAAAATATGCATATAGGATAAATTTTAAAAATATCATCGATCGCATTAATCTCGAAACGAGCGTTCTATCTTTGAGATTTTTTTAATCATTTCTTTTTTTTCTTCTTCTTCTTCTTCTTAAACTAATGCAATAAATTTAACGGATGACGGACGTATTAATCTTACGCATAAATTTAATTGGAATTTTTTGTTTTCCTCCCACCCGAACAAAATGAAATTGAAGGTATGACGTAGATCCTATTCGATAACGTATGTAATTTTTTTCGGCATCAAAAGAAATAAATTTTGAGTAGGGACGTCGATCCATATTATCGTTCGAGCACGTATTTTACGAATCACATTTCTCAAACACGTGGTTTTTTTCTTTTTGTAACTAACTTTATCCCAAATTTCAATTATATTCGTTTAATTGTTTTATCGAAAGATCCAATTATTCCTATTGGATCCTCTTATTAGACGGTATAGCAGGTATAATACGACATCCAGCGTGTATTTCACTGGCCTTAAGTGGTGCCAAGTCGATGCATAAAACGACACGAAGAACGACGAAAATCGGTTTGACTCGCCAACGACTCGAAATTCGATCGCGCAGTACTAGTCGAGCTGTTGTTCGTTAGTGAGCGAATTTAATTAGCTCCGTGCATCATCTCGTTAGAAAATTTCGTCTATGAAACGGTACCGCACGAGAATGTTTCATTGTGTATTTCAACGACAGGATTTCTATGCGTAAAGTGTTACGAAGTGTTATTACATACAGTCATTCAAAGAAACGGAGAACACAAAATAAAACGATACAAATTTCTTTGTAATTTCGTAATTTAGAAAAGAAAATTGTAAAAAGAAAAGAAAATCTAAAAATCGGTATCGTATCGCAACATAACAAATGAATCTATTTCGCGTTTTCGTACGATTTAAATGTTTACGAGTAGAAAAGGATAATTGTGGCGTATAATATATAACAATATAAATAATAGATAGGATTCTTCTATAATTCAAATAACACGGGTAAAAGTGAAGTGGACGTTAGCCAAAAAAGAAAAATAGAAAAGTGAAGTGCGTGGAGTGAACGAGGGCGGGGGCGAGGGCGGGGGCGAGGGCGGGGGCGAGGGCGAGGGCAGGAAGAGTTTCTCGAGAGATAAACGTGTGAATAAAAGAGGTGGAAGGGTTACGGTGGCTGGAGGAAGAAGAAGACGCAGAAAAAAAGAGGGAGAAACGATCGAGAAAGATTCGATCGTTCAAGATCGGGGAGCCGAATGTGGTGCAAACGATTGATTTGGATATTTCTTTGGTTGTGGACTGGTTGCGACGTTTGGCTTTAACGATGAAACGTGCTGAGTGGCGAGCTCAGAAGAGTGAAGAGTCTTTACTTTCCTCGGGTAGACTTGTCCTTAAAGCGAAACGCTCCTCGGCACGGCCATCTTGAATAAAATTTAATTTTAGACGACCGCGGAGGCTTCTCTTCGGCGTTCTACCGAAATCCGGACGGGGAGATACTTCTATGCATGCTAAAAAGTTTGACAGAAAGGATTAACGCTTTCGGATTTGGGTATATTTCTTTTAGCTTTGATTTATTTCTTTTTCTTTATCGAAAGAACAATCTTTCTCTTAAATTTTCTATATTTTTCTTCCTGTCCGTCGTCGTACTTCGCTAACGTCAATTCTGTCGCGAGAAGAGAAAAGATCTTCGAGTATAAGAGAGAGACGACAGACGTTCGTAAAATTGATGATAACAAACAAATGAAAACATGGCCACGTCAATTCCATCGAGTGCTTCGGTCGGAGGAAAACTACACCACCTTGGAGATGGAGGAACTGCATTCTCCGGTTTGCGCAGAGCACTATCCCAAGTATCGATGCTCGTCGTTAAAGCTACGACTTCCGGTGAAGCCGCATGGCGAGAAGAATTGCTTAAGTACGCGAAATCGAATCTGATTATACTTACTTTATTTCAAGCACCGAATATTTTGCTTCTTTTCGAATAATACCAATGCAAAAAAAAAAACGAAAAATTATCGAGTATAAATACAAGGTGGTCCTGAAATAAATCAAAATATTAGAATAACATTTTGTATTAATATCCGCTCAACGGATGACGGCCTTTCAGCAGATATTTATAGTCGACGTTTTCTCGAGGGGGGAAACAAAAAAAATACAAAATAAAAAAAGAAAACGAGTAATAGTCGTAGAGGAAGAAAATCGGATTCTACAATTTCGATTTATTTGTTTACGCGGGATCGCATTATATTTTCGGTGTATTTTTTCTTTTAAATTATAGACGCAAACGTACGCAGCATACATAAAATTCATTCGTCTAATTTTGCACTGACATGGATTCGAAGAGTTGAGATAAAGAAATAGGGGTTGCAAGGAGAAAGCATTTCTATTACGTAATCTTTTGCGCGATGATAAGAAATGATAAATTCGGTTTGAAGGAAATCTGGTAGAATTAAAAATAATCAAGAGAAAAACAAAAGGAATCATTGAGTGAAGAAAGAAGACTTAAAGCTGCGAAGTGAACATCCGTTTAATCTAGACCAGAGAGACGATCGAGCAGAGTTACAATCTCGCCCGACGGTTTATATCATTAGGTTTATTGCCACCGGTTATCATAATCACCGACGATTTCTTGTCTCGTCCAGACAGACACGATTCGTCTCGATGAAGATAAAACGAAACGATGATGAATATCTCTCTTTCTCTCTCTCTCTCTCTCTCTCTCTCTCACTCACTCGAAACTCTTCCAAGAGAGTCATTTCTTTAACAACAATTTTGATTTAACTTAATCTACGAGTTCTCGCGTACACTGAAAATCACTTAAGCGATCGTTCCGATTCATTATAATTTCATTGGGAAATAGATCTGTCGAAATTGAACGATTCAAAATTTCAATTTATCACATTGAATTATTATCGTGCATTGCGATAATAATTTAACAATGCGAAATATTTAAATGGCATTTTCAAAATTCAATCGTAAGTTGGAAATTATTTTTACGGCACTGAATCTTTGATTGCACTGATGAGTAATTAACGTGATAATTGAAAGACGATCGATAAATTAACACAAAAGGATAATAATGAGAGACACCTTCTTTCACGTTGTTATGAAGCAAGAGACTGACTGCAGAAGGTTGATGGTTGCGCCAGTCTAGTATGAATAGTGTAATTGAAAATAATGTTCCACCTCGAGTCGGTACAGTTACAGTCTTGACAATTTGTTGCGATAGTGAACGACTATAAGCAACTGTTTGACCGGGTTGTTAAAACAACAGTTACTTCGTGTGACAACGAAGTGCTTGATTTTACGTGTGAAAGGCTTTTCCATGCTGTAGTATACATGATATTCAAACAAAATCGATGACTTATAGCACAAACAAAAGTTCAAATATCATTTGAAATACGAATAAAACGATCAACAAAATATTACAATTCGAAACACATATAGGCAAACGGACGAAGAATGACTTTTTTTTATTCTTAATATCACCTCTTCATGGTAGTTAAATTAAATGATGTACTGCGCAGATGCAAATTTCACGGCGCGTCGTTTGCCAAAGAGATGACCCAATCGGAACACGTTTAAATTTCAAATTTTCTTATGCTTATAAGTAAATAAAAAAGAAAAAAAAAAAAAAAAAAAAAAAAAAAATTATTTTGACAAAACATCATTTTCAAGGAGAAGAGTTCAAAGAGAGCAAAGGCAAAGAAGATGACTCGAATAGTCTTTGATGTGCGATATGGAACGAGACTACTTCCTTCGTAAACAAACGTCGTCGTCGTCGTCGTCTCGTTGATCTCGATCGGTCTAGACTCTCTAGTCTCTAGAACTACGTGGACTAACCATTTCTCTCTCTCTCCCTCTCTTTCTCTTTCAAAAGATACTCTTTCTTGGCCGCTTATTTTATTATTTCCAACAAATTTAACTGAGACACGGAGACGCGACTTAACTATTTATAACGATGCTCAAAATCTATTTATAAATAAGACGATTGAAACGACGAGATCGAAACGACGTTAAAACAGTGGATTGACCTTCGACCGATGGCTCTTTCATCGAAATTCAAGCCTCACTTCAATCTATTATATTATATCGGTTACCTTGATCTATATCGAAGGTAACGTTACTTTTATTACAACCCATCGAACAATCATTCATTTAAAAAAAACCAATCAAAGAAATAAATCTTTAGATCGTAAGAAGTAATATACATTCAAATCTTTGACGAGATTTTTAATTGGATCGATTTTTAACGGTACGTTTTCTACGTCATTTAAGAAAACGTTCTAGTGCTACGAATAATTATAATAATACGAAAAAAGAGTCGTGATTCGTTTCAATGACGCGATTAACTGGCAACTTGCCCTTATACGAATTTCCCTTGCGGTGGCGTCTAGGTATGGCCTAGACCTAGCAACAAATTAGGACTTAATATATTTTCAATGATATCATTACTTTACGCGATGCTTCTCTTTTAACGGGTCGTTACGATACAAATTTTGTTTATATACCTAAGTACGTAACAATTGCTATTTAATACGAAATAGTAATACGAAAATAAATGAAGCGAAGATTTCGTGAATTAGAAAGTTTCCGATAGATAATAGTTCGTTTTACATTTACGAATTACATGGTACGAATTACCATCAAGATCATCGAAATAGAAATGAACGGTGGCTTCTAGATTTTCGAAATAAATAGCGACGAGCTCGTTTATACGAATTAAAGCGTTTTACGAGTGTACACACGCACACACTGCTGGAATTATTTATTTATTTATTTAGTAAGTTTAATGAAACAGAACAGATAATATAAACGAGTTGCAGTAGATTATTTTAATTTAGTCGGTAGTTACACTTGTGATTTATTTTACAAACGAATAGAAATAACGAATTCAATTAACAATTTTTAATTAAAATTAAATTTCATTTTTTTTCTAGTGATTGCAATTAACTTCACAATGGCTATGAATATTATTTTTGAGTAAACTTCAATTGTATTTGGATGAGAAAGATAGATTAGTTTGATATTATACTCTTGCAATTTGTAAAAAAAAAAAAAAAAAAAAAAAATTAAAAAATGGGTATCCATCTTACATTTGTTTTCCACGCACTTTTCCTCAAATTCGCTTTCCTACATAAATTTACTTATTTTTTGTTTTTCTTTCAAAAAAGATATCGTCAAACAAGATTCAGTTCAAGAAGAGTACGCAAGAGAGTGGTGTTCAAGCACGGAGATTGCAACGTCGTTCAAGGAAACGTCGCTAAACGTCGTCGTCGTTATTTGCAGGTGATTTTTATTTTTATCAAAGAACAATTGAATAATCCCATGAAAGTTCCTCGCGCGTTTAACGATTTATTTTATTTTATTATCTTATTAATTTTTTGTTTACAGGACATCTTCACCACTTTAGTCGACGCTCAATGGCGCTGGACCCTTCTCGTATTTTCAATGAACTTTTTACTTTCTTGGCTCGGTTTTGCTTTAATTTGGTGGTTAATCGCTTATAGTCACGGAGACCTTGATCCACATAATTACAATTCGTCGAATTATACATTTACTCCTTGCGTCGAAGATATACGTAGTTTCACCAGCTGTTTCCTCTTTTCCGTCGAGACACAGCACACGATCGGGTAAACCCAATCATTCTTATTTCTATTCTCGTTCTGTTCTTTCAAACGCGTAAAACGTTTGAAAATGTCAAGTAATCGGTGTACGAATTATTATGTATCATAGTAAATAATTAATGCAAATTTCATTGATTTTATATACATAAAAATATGAATTTCTTTAAATAATTGAATGGGTGTCTGGAAAAAAAGCCTGTGTTTTAAAAACTTGTTTTTTTTTTTACTGAAAAAAAGTTCTACGTGACGTATTTTAGTTCTTAAATTTGTTCTTTAATTTGTTGAAATTCATTTAAATGTTAATGTCGTGTTATAACTGACGCAGGTATGGCTCGAAACACACAACAGACGAATGTCCAGAAGCAATATTCGTCATGTGTATACAATCGATGACAGGAGTGATCTTGCAAGCCTTTATGGTCGGTATAGTCTTTGCCAAATTATCACGACCGAAAAAAAGAACGCAGACACTTCTTTTCTCGAGGAACGCTGTAATATGTCAGAGGGACGGTCAATCGTGTCTGATGTTTCGCGTTGGAGATATGAGAAAGAGTCACATCATCGAGGCTCACGTCAGAGCACAAATGATCAAAAGGAAGGTAAGCAACTTTTCTTATCTTGCGTTAATCAAATGTTTCTATCTACGAGTAAATACGTTTATGATATTAAAAGTGTTCAAATTGAATAACATTTTCTAAATTGATCAAGAAAAGAGTTTGTAATTTTCTGATAAAGAAATCTTTTTAAACAAATTGGATATTATGGAATTGGATATATTATTGGAATATATGAATCTCATCAATTTGATTCATTTATCTGATGCACCATATAAATCTGATTCATTTAAAACGTAAAAATGAATAGTATTTATTATGTTTTAATATGAAATTTGACAGGTGACGAGAGAGGGCGAACTTTTACCGTTTTTCCAAACGGAACTAAAAGTAGGCGGAGACGGAGAGGAAGACAAAATCTTTTTTATATGGCCAACAACAATTGTTCACAAGATAGACGAACACTCGCCGCTTTATCGTATTTCCGCCAGCGATATGCTTCGAGAACGTTTCGAGATCGTTGTTATTTTGGAAGGTAGGAATATTAAGCAATCCAAAATTTCAATTCAATGTCACGAAATCTTGAAAATAGTACTAAACCATGATAATTGTAGGTGTAATCGAGTCAACCGGTATGACGACACAAGCAAGAAGTTCTTATCTACCATCAGAAATTCTTTGGGGACATCGTTTCGAGCACATTATCACGTTTCGTAAAGAAACCGGTGAATACGAGGTCAATTATAGTCTATTTAACAATACTTACGAGGTTGATACGCCACTTTGTTCTGCAGCCGATCTCGATCAATTAAGAGCAATACATAGAGCTAAAGGAGGTGAGTAAACAATTTGAAAATTATTTTAACACGTGCGTACGGGTGTGTTGAATAAAACATTCAAAGTTCCGTTCCTTTGGCATCATTTTCTCATACCATTCTAACGTTTTCTACTTTACCGATAGATGTAGAAGTAGAAATCGTATTTAATTGATGCTATTCTTTTGAGAATGAAATATCCTGAAGAGACAAAAATATATGAACGAAAAATAATGTATATTGTCAGTATATCATGATGCTATCTTATTTATGATAAAAGATTTACAGATCAATTTTTAATCGTCCTACTATGAAAAAATAAAATTACAATGTTGCAATATAAAGAAATAAATTAAAGAAAATTGCGATGCTCCATACCTTATCCCAGTATCTAACGAATTGATACTAAATCTAAATAAAAATAATATTCGTAAAATGAAATATATTAAATAAAGGAAGAATATTGAATAGAAAAAGAAATCGGACATTTGATCGTACGTGTTAAACTGGTGAAAACTTAAAGAAGATAAGTTCAAATGGATCTCATCGAAGAAAAGTTGATTATTGTTTCGTGCTGGTCGCAGAACGCATGAGTTCAGGTGCATTTCCATATCACGACGTCTCGAGTAGTTCTTTAACTACGAGTTCCGGTTCGAGTTTGGCCTCTTCTGCCGGTGGTCTTCACATGCATGTACCACCGTTGACTCCACCAACTCCAATTCCGGTTATGATCACCGGTCCCGACGGTACCTTGAGACGGGAGAGCGTAAACAGCGTGCAACTCGAACGGCCAATATTTTATACGCACGACGAGGTAAATTTCTTCTTGTTGACTTGTTTTTCCTTGAAAATATGTACAAATTATAATATACGCTAATCAATGATTTCAAGTCTACCGATAACGAGATCGTTTGCGGAGCTACCTCTGTTAGTCCAGAGGATTCCAAAGTACAAGAGGAATACAATCGTGCCTTAGAAGACATCAATGCAACGCTTAGAAAAAATAGGAAACAGAATAACAAGGATGAGAAGAAGATTCATCGCGAAGGCTCGAAGAGTACGCTCGATTCGAAGAAAAGTGAATCGAGAATTAATGTCGAAGGAATGAAAAGATCGAGTTCACGATCGAACATCGATCAATGTCAAACTCGCAATAAAAAATCCTGCCCGAAGTCAACTTTGGATCCCAGGTAACGTATCTTTTGTAAATCAATTAAATTGTCTTTAAAAATATGATTATTAGGTCGTAAAACGAGTTTTACTTCCAAATTTTATTCAAAATAATGTAAATGATATGAAATTATATAATAAATATGTTAATAAACGTAAACTATCAATTATTTTGATTTAACAGGCACTGCAAATTTAAGGGCTCGCATGAATCTCTTCGCGACGCCATGCCGAGGAGATCGAGTTTGTGCGATGGTCAAAAATCGAAAGAAATGCATAAAAAGACTTGTTTCGTGTTGGAAAACGAAGAGGATACGAGAAGTGTTGAAATAACTATACCAACTATATCAACTTCGTTGGGAGTTCCTGAACGATTGGAATACGTCGTAAATTCGAGGGAATCAAATCATCATTTGGAACGCATGAATGCTTGCGAAGATGTCTAGTCTTCAGGTAAGTGTGATTACGACATAATTTGTAAGATTATATGAGACCGATTTGTGGATACACTGTATCCCTAAACCAATTTGGATTCGAATACCTGATTATCTATTTTTTATTTTAATTTTTATTGAAATAATGTAGCATCTAATGCAACAAATCAAATTGATGATCTAAAAATCCTTGCAACACAGTTTTTGTGAGGTACATCAACAGGGTCCCAAAGTGAAACTTTTTTTTATAATATTGGTACGCCAAAATCATTGCTTCTCGTTCCACCTTAAAATGAGATCTTCTTTTAATCTCGACATGAGAAATTTACAATCCTGCTAATATAAATTACTTCGTCGTAGTTCGTCATATTATAAAAGCTCAGGAAGCGAGGGAGTACGAGGGTCACGTAGTATTTCTTATCACATTATTGTTCGACTAACTAAGAATATCTGAATTTACAATAACCATCGGAATCGTCATCTAAATTGTTTCTAACTGAAATACAAAAGGTATCATACGGAGAGATTTAGATCGTTCATGCTGCTTAACTTCCCTCTTACTAAACTTCCTTCAGCTTGTGTCCTTCGATTATAACGAGGACTATAATTTTATTCAGGAAAACAAGCATTTTCAAAGTATCTTCTTTAGAATCAAGAGACGCATAATTATCGTGAGTGATGTTTAAACTGTTCGACCATTTTTATTTTCAAACAGTCATTTTACGCGAGCCTTGTAATTTAGTTCATTTAATAATCATGATACGTCAATAAAGATAAAATTAAATGTTAATAAAGTAATAATAAGAATTGAAAACATTGTTAATACTATGGATAAGATAATAACATTATTATTTTTGCAAACTAGTGAAATTTATAGGGAAACGGGGTCAACGTGGTGCAAACTAGATTCGTTGGGAATCATTCTCGATCGTTGTGATAGTTCGCGCGTTATGATGCAATGAGTGCATACTGTGTATAATATATTAATGTGTGTGAGAAGGGCAGAAGAAGGATGAGTAGATGAGTAATAGTAGTGGTTTAAATGAATACGAAGAGTCGTGGTGGATAGGTTAGACGACACGACAGGATGAGTTTAGTGGCGGGAAGTGCCCTCGTTATCGCGCCAGTCAATTGTTTAATCTCAGCTCCTCCTCCTACGCTTGCAGTTCTCGCCTTCCCTTCCTCTTCTCAACTCGGTTTTACAAGTTCGTTTTCAATCATCTGTCAGCAGCTGGAGAGCGTGCGCATTACGAACCATACCGAGTCCAACCGAGATGATAACGAGACTTGTCAATGACACCCCGCGAAACGTGATAAACTGCTTATCGGGTTACCTATTTTGCATATACATACTCTTATTTTCTTTCTTCCTTCCTTTACTTTCAGCTATGCTTAAATTTAACTGTCCGTTGTTGAACACATTGCAAGAATCTTGGGGTCTTCTATTTTGGTACTTGGGGCTGATCAAGAGGATTCTTGGTTTTTCATTTTTGTTGTTTAGGGAGAAACTATGTAACTTTAGATGATGATGACGATAATGGTCGTGACAATGGTCAATATTTCCTTCGCAATAGAACATTATTGATCGCCAACTTTCATATCATTTTATATTTATTTTCAAGTATTTATATGAAAACATATAAACTGAACACTGACAAATTAAATAACCAGTCCGTAATATGTTGAAACTCTTAAAACACATTGAAACCTAAATGTTGATTCATGTATTGATCTTCAAAGTTTCATAATACATGTTACAGTGTATATAAGTAATTCAGCATCAGCGAATCGACATCAGAGGCAATTTGTATTTGATATTTTAATGTAAAAAGTATCCAACTGTGTAGGTTGATGTCGAGGGAATAAAATACGAATAGTAGTTTGTTAACAATCACATTCGAACATTTCTAGTTCGGTTTAAAGAAAGAACGCTACGAAATTCAGGTCAAATTTCATCTCACGATCCTCGAAATCACGAGCTGGTTGGCTCGACCTTCCGAGAATGAGGCCGTAAACGTCGCGATTGTCATGCTAATTGCGAACCTTGGAGAATGAAATTCCATCGACTCAGCGGTTACCCTCTGGGAATTATAGATTTTATTGCTCCGAAACGTGCGTAAGCACACGGAGGGTATTCTTTAATAAACATCGACCGTTTCAAATGAACTATGCTAACAAAAATAAGATAAACATTTTTGTTAAAAAGTCTAAATAAATATGAGACTCGATAGTAAGATGATAATATTTATACAAGATAAAGTTAAAGAAATCTTTGCAAAATTTTATTCGCAATCGTACGCTCGGAAACAGACATTGTTTTTCGTGACAATAGTGAGTCGTTGATGATACTCGAGAATCACGAAACTAGCTTAAGCATATCGTTTAGCAAACGTAACGTATTACTTAACCTACTGTTCATCTTTTTTTTTGTTCTTCTCCAAGCTCGGCTTCGCTCTGATAGGTCGGTTATACTGAACCTGTCATCACCTGAGAGACACTCTAAAAATTCCTCAGAGTAAAATACTACGATGCAAAAGATAAACAAAATAAAACAATAAAAGAAATATTGAAAAGAACGTATCGACGTTTTATCATTTCAATAGCCATGATTCACGAACGAATCTTCCATCGAAGAGATTCGTTATTATGTTCAAGGAAATGGTATTTCGTTGACGATTAACTTATAGATAATCAATATATTCGTAGAAACGATTAAATGATTTGGTAAGAAGAATCGAAAAAACTTCTTTTACACTTGTATTTTTCGTCCCACTCATTGATTATTCGCACGTCTATGACTAATACACCCGGAATAACCGGAAACCGGACGTTTCGTGGGGGACTTTAAGAAACGATAGCTGAATGGGTCTTGAGTGTTCCCCTCCACATTTCTTTCTTTTTTCCTTCCTCTTTTATTTCGTAAATCTTGCATTCATATTTTAGAATTATTTGAAAAGAAAAAAGAACAAAAAAAAACGAAGCAACGGAAGAACTTTTTCGCGTAACACGCGTCTCTTCGGTGTATCCTTCGCGTAAATACGCGTAAAACGGTACCACATTATCTTGTGCACTTCTCTTGACAACTAGCAGCGAGAGTAACATAGGTAATTACTCGTCTGAATCATCATCATCGTTTAATTGAGTCAAATTAAACTATGCGTGGAAAGAAAAACAACGTCGTTGATCGACGTCATTGATCTCTTTTAATGATAAAATTGGCCGCCTTTTTAAGCAGAGATTCGTTTCGTTATTTACGTTTTTTTTTTTTCTTTATTTAATTATCATTAAAGAAATAAAGAGAAAAAGAGATAAATCTATTTTTATAGAAGAAAAAGAAGAAAGAAGATTTATCTTGGATATAAAAAGATGTGATTATCTAATATTTAATTATTTATAACCGTATTTCTCTCCCTCTTTCATTTCATCTACATTTGTGATTCGAATATATCAGATTCTTTGTTTTAATTAATTCTTATAAATGACACTATTATAAAAATTCTTTTTTTTTTTTATTCAGCGAATTACACACAATAGAAATTGCAGTACGAACAATGTAATTTTATTACATTAAAATAACAATTATGTTAAATGTATACTAATTAATATTAAATGAAAACGAGAAAGTGTGCATGAGGTTGTAACAATAGATAGTAAAACGACAAAAGGAAGGTAAAAAAAAAACAATCCACCTATCTTGAAGTATTCTAAGCGATGATCAACCAAGTGACACATATCCCACGAGTACCCGATCGGCTTAGGAATTTAGAAAGGACAAAAACGGAGTTGTCCGATCGTGGAAGGTTGGAGAGTGAGCCATGAACGTTATTTGTTGGACATCAACTATGAAAGGATCAAAAACTATTCTACTCGTGTCGTTTAAATTACGTCTTCGCTTGTTCAACGTAAATGATTACGTGAACACGAAATTTCGTTCCGACTGGACAAATATTTACGGGTTGACGTGTTTGCTATGTAAAGGAAGAAATTTTTTTCTCAATGAAAAAACGTTCGTCCGATTAATTTATCCGATGATAAATATTCGTTGAGATGTCAACATTGTGTTATGTCAATCTTATTTCTTACTCAGAATCAGCAGTAAAATTATTTATTATCATAAAGTGTGTAGCATCACAAATGTATTTGCAATTAGGAGCAAAACTGTCACGAACATAGGAAAAAATCGATAAAATAATAAATAATTTGGTAATATAATATATTTATCTTTTACGATAAAATGTGCCAGATAACAATTGAAATAATATTTATAAATCCTAATTAGTCCTTAAAATTAAACAATAAAATACGCGATAACACTAAACACAAAAGTTTTAAGTTTAATTATAAAAAAAAACCGGTTATTCGTTTGTCATGATATCCGTCGTTGTTGTAAACGTTTGAAATTATCAAAAATTCATACTTTTCAATATATTCTTTTTTGAGACGTCAAATTCATAGAAAAGAACGGTACGAAATAGATCGGCAATCTTCGACACGAAGACACAAGTTAATGAGTAGAAGGAGAAGGAGAAGGAGAAGGAAACCAAAGTGGTTGGGAGAAGGAGAAGAAAAAGAAAAAGAGGAAGGAGAAGGATGTGGATGATGAGGAGGAGAAAAAGGTGGAAGAGGAAAGGAGAGACAAAAAGAGAAGTGATATGAAGTGTAGTGAAGTGAAGAGAAGAGAAGAGAGAAGAACTGACATAAGTAAGAGAAAAGAGAAGGGGTAAAGGCGGGTGTAAAAGGTGCCGGTTGACGTCACTGAAAAGGCTCGTTCTCGTTGTATAGCACTGGTCGTATAGTTATATCTACACTCGCTTAACAAAAGCGTTCGCAGTTTCGCGACGTTTCGTCGTCGTCGTCGTCGTTTCGACGCGACGACGCGCGGCAAAGTGTCATTTGTGTCAACTACATTTTATTTCCAATTCTTATTCCTCCAAAAAAATAGGTGAGAAAAAAGAAACGAAGAAAAACAAAGAAAAGAAAAATAGTGCGAGAGAGGAGAGGGAGGGGTGAGGGGGAGGGGAGGGGAGAAACATCAACGAGTGGCGGGAGATTTGAAATTTAAATTTAATCGAGCGACATCTACGAGGGACGCCGGTAAATCGCCACGTGTTCGAACAAATTCAATATCATATTTCTTCATTTAAAAAAGAGAAACCCAAGTGAACTTAAGGAAGGATTTACGTTAGATATAGGAAGTTTGAAAAAAGAATGAAAAAATATAATGATAAAAATAATGATAGTGTTTTTGTTAGTTGTTGATGAGATTATAATGGCCTTCGTGGTTAATCGGTTGCAAAGATAGATAGAAGATCAAGAGGAAGAGAGAGAACGAGAGAGAGACAATCATCGTCGTTGGTTTCGTGAGGGAATGTGTTAATTGATTGGCTGTCTACGTTGAAAGATCTACGTCATTTCCAGCGGAAAGACAATGAAAGCTATGCGCAAAAGCGTGCGTCCGGACGGGACGGGACGAGACGATCGGTGATTAGTGACCGGTAAGAGGATGCGAATTTTCCAACATCCGATCGCGTGTCGACCTCGTTTCGGATGATTTTCGATTTCTCTCTCTTTCTTTCTTTTTTTCTCTTCGCGTCCCAAGTGTATCGAGCATATGGTTCCGAGTTATGCGTACAAAATTCTAGATACCGGGTAGAGAACTATTCATTCGAAATAACTTGATGCTTTTACGTAGCGATCAACTAAGTTCGCGATTATTCGAGAATGCGAACAACAACGCTATCATTTCACTTTCAAATACTCGCATGCGGACACGTTTATACAGTTACCTAGAGTTACCTTTGAACAAGTACTCGCTTACTTACTTGGGTATATTTATGACTGTTTCAAGACTTATCATTAGTTTTTCTTTTCTTTTTCATTTGATTTCTTATTTACTTCATTTCAATGTATTTCCGATAAATCGGAAAAGAAATGTCACAATCGTGCGAAAATAAAAGCGTTGCCTTGCAAAATCTCATCTTTACGAGGAAGAACGTTTCAGGGACACCGTTAGTTGACTGATGATGATGAACACGCCAATAAGAACGTGTGTATATACATACGTAAGACGACGTTAACCTGATGCAGCGTGACGCACACGTGCGCGATTATGACTCTAGAGATTGATATAAAAGAGTGCTATAGATTTTCTTTTGTAATTATTTCTTTTACCTACTAATAAAATAAAATTTGTTGTAAGAAGAGACGAAATTAATGATAGTCTTCGATGATTAAACGCATAGCTTGATAAGCAAAAGTAGATAATAATATGCTGTAATGAAACGTTATGTTTAACTTCAATTAAATGTGTCTTCTTACGTATTTACGTAGGTGGAACGGTTAATAGGTATGTTTTTATTTATACATTTGCAATGATAAAACAAAGCGAATGCGAAGAGAGGGAAAGAAAGAAAGAAAGAAAGAAAGAAAAGAAAAGAAAGGGACGTTAAAAACACGTAACTATTAGAATTGCAAATAACGTATCGATTTGCATATAGAGAGTAAAAGCACTGAAATGTATAAAAGGGGGAAATGATACTTGTAAAAAAACTAGAAAAATGCAATATTCATAAGCCAAGAACAACGAGAAGAATTTTGATAATAAAATATCTGTTTAAATTGGTTTAATCATTTATTCGAAAAATGATTTTTTCCTTTTCAATTCTTTCTTGATTTATCGTTCGTTTTTTTATATATTTTATTTAATTGACCGTCGTATTTATTCTCTATGATATAATATCGATGTTTTGACTAATTATATCCAAGTTTAATCAACACATTAGATAAATGATTAGAATATATTACTCATATAGTTTGAAAGGAAATATCTAATAATAATAGAATAACTACAATTTGTAAAACTTAAGCTTTTATTTTTGTTATCAATGAAATACTATATCTCAATCAATTTTCTTTGCTCGATGTTCGATATAATAAAGTATTTAACGTTTAATTTAATAGTAGATAAATTTGTCGATCTTTTACGAATTTGCACATTACATTTTGTAATAAGAATCTTTAATCAATGCAAAATTAATAATTATCCATACAAATGATCTTCGACGTTCTCTCGCGACGATGATGATAAAACGAAGAAGGACATAAACGTTAGTTTGTGTTTTTTTCCACTGATAGAAAAATATCGAGTGCTCGTGAAAAAGAAATAATAAAAAGGGGAAGGAAAAAAAAAGCGAACGTCGATAAAATTCGTTAACAAAATTATTTTCTCACGCTTACCCTGCAACGATAAGGAGTTTAAAATTATGTATTAAAACGCATTTAACTTGGCAACGGGTTGACAGAAAGAAAAGTTTCAAGGTCCGTGGTGTGTTCGCTTTCGCACGTTGAGATCTATCCGAGAAGTCAACGACGACGACGACGACGATGCCTGTATCCTAACATGAGAACATGACGCGTGGCCTCGTAAAAATGTATATGTGAGAGAGTCTCGCGCGCGCACTTTATCCCCGCCATAAGAGGTAAACGCCATGGCATCCGTTGGCAACGAGATCTCATGCAACGGGCGCGAATCCGATACAGTTGCGAGTACGACGCGCTTACGTGCATCTGTCTCCTCCTCCCTCGAAAACTCGAGAAAATTAGAACGTCCAACTGTTGACTTTGATTCGAGTAATGTAAAGAAAAAAAGACATTTCCCACCATATTTTGATAAACTTTTTATTATCTTACACGGAATTTCATTCACGCATGCCGGTCTTGTTTCTTTTCCCATTAGTGATCGAATCTTGTAAAAAAAAAAGAAAAGAAATAGAAAAACAATAACAATTTATATTAGCAAAGTTTTTTTTTATCGGGATACAATTGTCAATTGGAACGTTTGAATATTGATAGAATTAAAATATGATCGATATGATTTTTATGGATCTTTTTTAATTAGCATTTAATTTCTTTTGTGAAAATATGTATATCAGATTATTATTGTGTATCGTATTGTTTGTAACGGGTGTACATATTTTATCCCACAGTCCCCTATAGTTTATATATAGATATACTTTTTTATCTCAGCGAAAGGATCTCTCTTCTTCCTCCTATTCTTTTTTCTAAATCCACGGTGTGCTCTCATGCACGTGATTACGCGTATCAATGATTCTAAGAAGAATGCGACTTACGCGCTTAGCTATTGCAACGAGATTTCTTTCGGATATTTGCTTCATTAATCGAGAATATAATATTTTTCTCGTTCGAAGAAAAATGCATCGGGAATGCTTTGCCAACGTTTCATTGAATTTTTAAAACAAAGTTCTCCGTGATCATAATCGCGTTACTTTAGACTCCTTCTATTATATTTCAAATACTATTTCTTCCTTAAATATCGATTATAATTATAATTGAAACAATCCGATATATTTTCGTATGAATGAAATAAAACGTTCTCTCTGTTTTGTGCATTTAGAAATTAACTTGAAGGAATTTTTGATCGGTTTAGAGTCGAGGGACGATAGGATAAGCCAACAAAAGAGGAAGAAGAACGTATATAGAAGCTGCTGCTGCTGGGAAGAAAGCGAAACCAGTCGAGAAGCTATGGGGGATTACAAACTTGTATCATCCTTCGCGAGTAAAGATCGCGACTCGACCATGCGTGGTGATTTCGATGAGCGCATTTCATGGCGCATGTCGTACTGACGTTCAAAACAAACGTGGGGGGGGGGGAAATAAGAAGAAAACAGTGAAAGAAGTAGAAGAAGAAGAAGAATAAAAATAAAAAGTAAACAATTCCTTCGAGAGTAATCAAAAGTTCCAATTGGAGTTTCGTGCAAGGCTTGTTACACGTGAAAGAAATAAATATATGTTGAATAAAACAATTAGCAAGACAAATTGTTAACGTAATAATGAAAGTGACATCGTGAAAAAGGTAGAAACAAAGGGGTGAGGTAGGGGGAAAGAGGATAAGGAGAAGGAAGAAAGGAAAGAAAGAAAATAAAATAAGATAGAGGAGATAAAGAATGGAGGAACCACAAAAACTTTTTCGTTTACCGGGTACGATCGAAGAAGAGGAAGAAAGAGATCCGGAAGCACAAACTCACGTAGGCACCGTAGGAGAAAATCCAACGAGACCGGAATCACCTTTGCTGGGTCAAAAAGGTATCGGCACTTTGTCGAGTTTACCGAGAAACGTTACTCTCGTCAGGGTCAGTACTCAAAGTAGCAGCATCGGTGGCGGAGTCGGTCGGCAAGATTCCACCAGGTAAATAGAAATATTATATGCGTATATATATTTGTTTTTTATTTCTAAACCCCATAAAATAAAATAAAATAAAATAAAAATAAAAAGATCGCATTGGATCGTTCAGTTCGATTTGTTAATTTTTTGAAGCATGAAATTATAGAAAATAAAAGGATTCCACTTTGCTACGAAATTTTATTCTATAAAATCTAACGCGAAGTAGGTTCATTTTAATTATTAAAGAATGTATATATCGTAAAGTGAATAAAAAAAATGATTATTTTCAAGACACACAGCATTTTCTATGATTGTAGAAAGTATTCTTATATAATATTTTGTATAAATATTAAAGAAGAAAAAGTATAATCATTTTGTATATTTTTATGACGTGGCATAAAAAAGTTTAAGAACTAACGTAAATTCCACGATGATACATTCACCATCATTGAAAAAAGGAATAAAAATATCGACACGATGAATAAAAGGCATTAATCTTCCTCATATTCATAAAAAATCACTTGAAAGTACGTCGTTCAAGGTTGTACACCTTCGAAAACAGCAGCTATCGTTCGCGACTAAAAACGGGTTCTCCCAGTAGTAGTTAGAAATAATAATTATCAGTTTCGATCGCCAGATGCTTCTCACATTTTACGTTTATTAAAGATGTAGATAAGTAGTGTAAATAGAAGAAGACAAGAACGAAAACACTAAAAAGGTGTTAATTTGGTTGGGCGCCATGTAAAACCAAAATAACTCGACGAAACAATGATAATAATTCACATTTTCTTCATAAAACTTCTTTTTTATATTAATTGTTTCAAACTTCCTTGAGATATATATATATAATTTTGAAATTAATAAGTTGAAAAACGATTTATTTCAAAATTGATACAAATATTCGATATGATGTTTGTTATTTATCGCACGATCGTAGCAAGTTTTAAAGGGAAAAAAGTTAGATTGTTTTTTTTTTAAATGTTTATCGTTCTTACCCATTTGTTATGAAATATGATTTATCGAGCGTGTTTTTTTAATTACCTAACTACGCACATATGTATTTATGTATTACTTACATGTACGTATGTATATCAACTAATGCAAGTATACACAAGCATAACTATTACGATAAAAGAGTTTTTTTTGCTGCCGTGCATATTTATACTACAAATCCATCATACTTTTCAACGATGTCATCGATCTATTTACTCTTTGATCATAATTTACGTTTTGTCAAACTGTCCTAGATCGCGAGAACGACAATGACGTAGTCGACGTATTTTTCAAAGATCTACGAGGCAAGAGTTTCGTTCTTTCATTAATTCAAGTCACGTTAAGGTGTTACAAAATTGTTGATTTTGTGTTGCCATGAGTTTAACAAAAATATTCCTGCTAATTGGAATAAAACTGTGATATAATTAATGGGATGAATTTTTTATTTCTTTTTTTATTGTAAAAACTAACGTAAAAGTATAAAAAATAATAAAACATTAAAATTGTGAGTGAAATCGAGATGAATATCTTTCTACAATTATTTCATTATTTGATATCGTATTTTTGTAAATAATAATTAATACGTATAACGAATGTGTAATCTTACAAATATTTTATGTCACTCGTATAAATTCTTTATCGAATGAAAATATATATTTAATTGTGCGAATAATAACCATTTGATCATCGAAATATAATCAATCTGTATTCTATTTTTAAAACGTTTTCTCATTCAGGATTCATAATTAGTATACTTCTGTCGTCCCAAAGGTCACCGGAGGCAGATCAATCTGCGATCATAATCGTGCTTAATCGTGGAAATTCGCGGCAATCTGTGGATATCAGATATCTCATTTCCTGGATGTAACGTGATAGAAACGCGTCATAATACTTAACGTATTCGTTACATGGAAAATCTTACGTTTTAAAATGATCAAATGAATCAAACGTCTACATAAGAAACGTATAGTAAATTCATTGTAAAAGTCGTGATAGGTCTAACAACGATCACGTAAGCAGGTATTTTCTCACGCTCAGATTTTTATTCACTCGTAGATAAATAAACACACACACACACACACACGATATTGTAAAATAAAATAAAATTATTTAATTTAAAGGGAAAAAAATGTTCTATATGTTATCAAATTACAATCGAAAGTTAAAGTTATTCGAAGAAACTAATCCATTATAACTGTAATTTGTGGTTAGTATTGGCACGCGTCAGATACGATATGAGAAGATATTATATCTCCGTAACATTAACCACAGATCGAAATGACCATAAACCGGTAATCCAGTTATCGGGTTAGCATTTAATAGAGCATGTTTACTAGTACGTATCAAATTGCTAATTGTAAGACGCGAACATTACGAACACGATTAATGGGTTTGCCAGGCTGTTTCCACAGGCATCTAATCAATGTATGCATGTTCCTATATAATTTAAACTAGAGAAGAAAAAAAAGAAAAAGAAAATAAGTCTAACAATATAAGAGGTCTAACGATACACCTGTAAAATTAATTAGAAAAGTAAAAACGTTTCGCGCATTCGTTTTTATTGTATTACAGTTGAAACTGAAAAAGAAGAGGAAAATAGTGACATGAATGGATCGTTCATCATCACCTACGATCGAGTCTGATGGAATGAACATTTTTATCGGTCTTCGCAACCTCTCGATTCTCGTCCAGTCTCGTTAGTTTAATTAAAAGCTCGTTATCGAACTCGTAACGTCGTTGCACGGTCGCGGGAGAACTCGCGTACCGCAAGTTCTGTTCGTGACAGTAAAGCTCACCAACGATACTATCAACTTCAACCATTTTTTTATCATTTACGATTAAAAATAACAATTTGTCTCCGATTCGTCGAAAGTGTACGAATTATTATGGATGACAACGAGAAAATCAATTTGACTGAATTTCAAAGAACTGTACATATCGTGACGTTAGAATCTAAAACTAAATCATTACGAAATCGAGCTGTGCCAATTAAAAGGGATCCTGGGTTGGTTCCTTTTAAATTAGTTTTAAAGGAAGATATTTATCGTTATTGTGTTTTTTAAATATTCGATTTTTCTTCACTTTCTGATTTATTTGATATTTTGATTGTTTTTTTAAATTTATGGATATTAATTTAATACGAATACACGTGCAAATTTTATCCCAAATATTTGTTTTCGTATCGAATTGAAGAAATTTTATGATCCACTTGGAATTTCGTCAAGATATCGTTTTCTCATATTCAAAATTATCATTATGTTTATTTGACTGACAATAATTCAAAACTAAGATTGCAAATAACAACAACAATAATAATAATAATATAATGATAATAACGACAGTGATTAATAATCAAGATGATCATAACAAAATGCAATAAGTTTTTATCTACAGAAAGTAGAGTAAAGTGTAAAAGTAGAAAAAAAAAATTGGTTAAAAATAACACGAGCATTTGTGATGTTTAAAGATGTAAGTACACAAATCGTTATCTCAAATATTCGCTTTTTCTTAGCGAGGATATCATTTTTGTATGTAGAATCAGCGATTTTTACGGAGTATGCCAAGTACGATTCCCGATAACGAGATGACAAGACGACGATAAGACATGATTTCTCAGTCAGTCAAAAGTAACGTATGGGACGTCACGTTTTCAGTTCGAACAGTTTAACTTTTAACGAAGTGAAATATAATTTTCGTCTAACAATCGTGAAATATTATTCATTGTTCCTTTTGTTCTTTTATTTATATTTTTGTCTTGTACTTTTATTTCGAAGTTTACTTACATTCATCGCGAGTGAATCAAAAAGAATAAAAAAGAAAAGAATTATCTTAAAATTAAATGTAAGCTTTGATCTGTGCTCATCCTACTTGGGAAAAGTTTTCTAGAATTTTCATTAATTATTAAATAATATCCATTTAGAACAAAATTATTCTTACAAATAGGTTTACGTATAAATTATGGTATTTCGTTAAAGAATTTGCAAAAGAAATAATTTAGAAATAGTTCAAATAATTATCTTATTGTTAGAAACAAATCTAATAGAAACGATCAAACGATTAATCTTAATTCGATATATCAACTTTAATATATCTTGAAGTGTAATATAAACGCAATCATCTCATCAATCGATTTCTACGCTGATATCATTTAAATACGACTAAATACTCCTTCGCATATTCGCGAACGAATAAGCGATTGAAATGCGAATTAATTAGCATCAATGATCTTCTCTCTCTCTCTCTCTCTCTCTCTCTCTCTCTCTCTCTCTCTCTCTCCTCTCTCTTTCTCTCTTTCTATTCTATAAATCTATCAATCTATCTGTCTCTCTTTTTCTCTCTCTTCTCTGTCTTTCTCAGTCGATAAACGTAACTATTGCAAACGATGCTAATTATTTAAATAAAATATTCGAGTTGTTTTAAATACAACAACAAAAATAATAATAAAAAGAAAAATAAGAAGAAACTTTGGATTAATTGAAGGAAAGAGAAAAGAAATGAAAGAATGTTAATAATTGAATGAAAAGAATAAAAGGGAACCGTTTGAAAAAAAGGGACCAACGCGTTTAACGTGACATAAGCATATGATCAGCTTTATTTTCGCAAATGAAAAGTGCAAAGCGTAGTGTTTAGTGACCGATAAGTGGAAGAACGAGACGGTCAAGCATATGTATGTGTGCTTGTATGTGTATACAAGTATACATACATAGATATAAAACGTCTTGCGTCGATATTCCATGCATCAGTAGATGTTTCACTAGCTTCATACTCGGTACCTGTTCGTTTTCCATCCATTCTTTTCTTCGTCGCGTTCGATTATTTTTTCACCGAGATTCGCGAGAACATAAAATAAGATTAAGTCATAAGAAAAAATAGTGTTGATAAACTTATAAAGAAAGAGAGGGAGAGATGGGGAGAAGAAAGTAAATACTCGTGGATAAATAGATTACGATCGAAAGAAGGAGCACAACAAAAATAGATGATAGAAAGATCGTTATTGAAAAAAAAGTGACGATTCTCGGTTATCAATTCGTTTCGGATTCAAGGAGAAAACGATTGGGATAGAAAAAAAATAATACTGATAACCCATGTATATAGATCATACGCAGTTTTATTAAACGTTGTGTATCATAATATATTCGTGAATATTTTTATTTTCTTTTTTTAAGAATAAAGAAAATAGGATTGAAAATTAATTGTTATTTTTTTGTATACGCGATCGGTGGAAATACATATAAAAAAAAGTTTAAAGAACGACGATTAGTCGTTCGTGAAGAAAACAAAAAAATTGAAGAATGAAAAATTATTTAGAAGAAAAATCAATGAAGATGAATGGATCAAGTACGAAGAGTCCTAATTCAAACGACGACAAAATTCCGTCAACCGAATACGGAGACGAGCAGAAGCTTTTACCACCTGTTTCACCTACCCCGGTAATCGTCGTATCCAAGAGTCCCAGTCTGTCCTTCAGAAGCAGGTATAATTTAAATAATGAGAACAAAAAATATAACGCAAAAATTATTGATGAACGGCCGATCGATCGGTGTGAATTTTATTTATGTTTTATCTATAAAACGAAATGATATATCTCGAATATATTTTCTTGTGTATTTAGTATGGACGTGTATATATACATATGTAAATTTCTGTCGATTAATTTTACTCGCGAGAAATTAATTTTTAGTCATAATTTATCTCTTCTATATCTTTTTATTCTATTTTAATAATTTTGTTCTTTTCCTATTTATCATATATAAATATGATAATAAAATGAATCGAGTTTTATTCGATTAAAATAAGATTTCAATCATTCATAAGTAACTATCGCGGTTTAATCTTGAAGTTTTAACGAAGCTTATGCTCGTAATCATAATTTCTCCAACGACTTTAAATTGTCAACGCTTGTTAAAAGTTACTTAATATTTTATTGAATAACCTTAGAATTCGCATTCTCATTTTGAAAAAGCAAAGATAATAAGTATTTTTCGGTTAAATTTCTCAATTTCTGCGTTTTCAACTATTCTTATCAAAAAGCAATAGAAGTGATAAGAAACGATGATCGTGTTTCAATGACAAATTTATCGTATAAGAATAGATAAAGATAACATTGAAAAGATACCAATTAACGTAATACGTGAACAAAATATTATCTATATAATTCTCTTAATGCAATATTTTCTTGAAAAATATTCAACGATCTTGACAAGTTATCAAAAAGATTACATTCAATTTATTTCTTAAGTTAAATGTGATATAGAAAAATATAAGTGGCATAATTAAAAGAATAAATAAAATGAAAAATAATACAGGGAGACATAAGGGTTGCTTCCCCTAGATAATAGATAACATATTTTCATCTTTTTCTTGCTTCCTTTCTCCCTCTCTCTCTCTCGTATTCGGTCTTCGCGTGTACGACTTTATATCCCGGACATGCATCACGATATACGCTGATTAAGTCAATGAAATAATTCTCATAATCGTATCACGTGCGGTTACAAGCTTAAAAAGTAATGTAACGTTAGAGAGAGAGAGAGAGAGGGGAGGGGGCAAGATTCTCATCGAGGAAAGAAATTCGGTTACAATAGAGTGACGAATAAAAAGAAAAAAGAAAGTAACAAAAAGAGAGAGAAAAGAAGGAAGAAAATGTTGCGTTTAAAAGGGGAAGGAAAGAAGAGATCGGTGAGAGAGAGTTGAAGCTGACGAGTAGTCAGTCAGTCCACCGATGTGTGAGTGAGTGTCGTCGACTCTCGCGGCGGCTGATTTACGCGTGGCAATAAATAAATTGGTAGATAACGGTTACTCGGTTATCGTTCAAAGTCAAAATGGCGACTTCCTTTTTGTCGTACGAAAGGGAGAACTGGGCCCGAGACTCGGTCTCTCGGTCGGATCATTGTGCTCTGAGAGGGCGCGCGCGCGCGCGCGTTATAATATTGACCACCGTAGAGATCATCATAGTTTTCATTCGTGATAACAATTCCTATGCATTGTTCTCGTCTTTCTCTCTCCCCCCTCCTACTTCCACCCCCTAACAAAAAAGTATCACACGTGGGTCTTGTTTTTAAGTTTATTCTTCGTTCGATGGTGTCATTTTTCTAACTTTTACGTCCTGCCTTTTTCCCGGAAACTATAAAATATTTATAAAGAGTAACCAAAATATATATATATACGGGAACAGTAAAAAACAAAAAGGGAGAGTGTAATTTTAAAAATGACGTGCTTTTGATAGAAATTTGTTATTGTTCAAAGTTCTTTTTTATTTGCAAATCGAATCGAATGATTTATAGAATTCAGTGCTTTTCGAATTTACGAATTTAAAGTGCAAGAACGATGACGTACAATGCGAAGAGAATCATCGTAAGTAAAAAAATCCTTGCTTTAAAATTGCTTCCGTTCTTAAATTCTTACGAAAGAAACTTTCAATTTCGAAGTATTCAAATCTTTCTCCGAGAAAGTATCGAATAAAACAGAAAAAATAAGAAAAAGATGAAGATAAATGTATTTTTTCTTCTTTAATCATAAAAATAAAAAGCTTGGCATAAATACGAAGGCACGATACGCGGATGATTAACATATTGACGAGTAAGAAAAAATAATAAGATGCATTTAATAGGGAAATAAGACAAAAGGCGTTTTGTCGCGAATGTTTCCGAGTGATTTACGTTCAATGAAATGGTCTTTGGTATAGTGATCGGTATAATGCAAGTACAAATTATTACGTCGTTAACTTATAAAATTAAATGTTTCCAGCGTTCTTCTAACTTCCGACATTTCAATTTAACACACTATATCATCTTTATCACGATAATTATTTATTTATTGTTCTTATTTTTGTTTAAAAAGAAAGAAAAAATGGCGCGCACAAGGAGACACAAAAAAATGGAAAAGTGCTTATATGAAAGAAACGATCGTTTGTATTCTTGTTTCATAAATAATGATCACTTATGCTACATTATTTTGCACTAATTAGTCACAGTGCAAGAATGATTCATGTTTTGCATACTTACCTTATGAAATGGATACGAGAGAAGCGATAACAAGATCCTCAAGATTTGTTATTCAAATCTTTAATACTCGAAGAGCCTGTTGTGCGTGTCATCTCTACAAAAGTCGACTATTCTAATTGCAGTATAAAAGAGAAAAGAAAGGATGAAAAAAAAAAGAAAGAAAAGGAAATAGAAAAAAGGAAACCTCAAGCAATTTATACGCGTATCTCGTATTAAAATGTTATTCGTTTTTTCCGATGCTTTAAGGTAATTTCAAAATGACCGCTGACATCAAACGAGTTAAAAATTCAAATGCGCAATCTAACATAAGAGACAAGTTTGTAATATAAACGTTGCAACGCAATTCGTCTATGTTTCTCATCTTGACATTAAAACAAGAACGTAAGAAATGATGCAAGACATTTGATTTACGACGAATAATACACTGAAATTATTGAAACGCAGTACGTTAAATCGATGTCTGCACGACATTAATCTAAGTGGATCTATTTAAGGCTTCCTTCAGTTTTTATTTAATTATCCTAACCATCTCAGTCAATTATAATATATTTTCATCGTAGAATCGATGAGTTTTGTAAAATGAATCGAAATATTGGCCGCGCGGAGAAATAGAATAAAAATATGAAAAAGCAAAATAATTGTTAGAGGAATTTTTGTACTCGTAGATGTGGAAGAAGAAGACTGTTTTAAAAATGATACGATTGGTGTTTCAGGAGCCGATACAGGGCAGGACAAACAAGGAAGTTACGCCGTCGAGCGGTATTAAAAAATGGAGATTGCAATGTATTGCAGTCACGAATTTCTCGAAGGTCGTTGCGTTTCCTCCAGGATATATTCACGACCCTGGTAGATACGCAATGGCGATGGACGTTGCTCTGTTTCGCATTGAGTTTTCTCCTATCTTGGTTGGGTTTCGCGGTGATTTGGTGGCTGATCGCATTCACTCACGGTGATTTCGAGGAACGTCATTTACCACCGTTTCAAGTCGATAACAATTGGACACCGTGCATCTACAATATATTTTCTTTCACGAGTTGCTTCCTATTTAGCATAGAGACACAACACACGATCGGTTACGGTAGCCGATCTACAACCGAAGAATGTCCAGAGGCAATTTTCGTGATGTGTGTACAAAGCGTCGCAGGTGTTATGATACAGGCTTTTATGGTTGGTATCGTATTTGCGAAAATGAGTAGACCGAAACAGAGAACGCAAACCCTCCTATTTTCAAAAAACGCCGTGATTTGTCAACGGGACGGGGAGCTTTGCCTGATGTTCCGGGTTGGTGATATGAGAAAGAGTCATATCATTGGTGCAGCTATTAGAGCCCAAATGATCAGATCGAGGACAACTAAGGAAGGTGAAATTTTATCGCAAAATCAGCACGAACTTGCGGTGGGCACCGATGGACAGAACGGCAATCTCTTTTTCATCTGGCCGACGACGATCGTTCACAAGATTAATGCGGAATCACCTTTCTACAATCTTTCAGCTGAGGACATACTCACGGATAGATTCGAAGTGGTTGTTATACTCGAAGGTACCATCGAATCGACCGGACAAACCACTCAAGCGAGGTCCAGCTACTTGCCTCAAGAGATACTCTGGGGTCACAGATTCGAACCTATGGTGATGTATTCGAAAGAAAGGCAGGGTTACGAAGTCGACTACTCTCTTTTCGATAGCACCACGCAAGTCGATACTCCACTCTGTTCTGGTAGAGAACTCGCTGAATTTTACAGGGTTCAGGATGAAATTCGTCTAGGGAACAGTAAGTATCGTGTTTCTTCTTATCCTTTTATTTTTTCTTTCCTAAATCTATATATATAGATAAATAGATAAATAATCGTATTTTTATACGAGCGATCTTCCCTATGACCGATAGCTTGCCTTTTTAATAATATCACGCTAAAGCTTTTTCGAGTAGGAACAAATTGTGCTTAGCTTTCACAAACTAACGAAAAAAATGATCGCACGCACGCTTCAGTTGTCTCTTTAAGCGCACGTTTGTCGAACCGATCGTGTCCTCGTCTGATTCTTCTGGTGCTGGATCTATCGTAGATGGAAGCCTGAGGAAAATTCCTAGCGAGCCGAAATCAGCTCCGGTGATACTCAACGCGCTTAACCAAAACGAAGCCACGGGATTCCTTGTTCCTCAAGGACACTCGTCGTCGCAAGGACACTCGCCGAAGCTTCACATTGACATTCCATCGATCGACGATTGCCCAGGAATATAAGAATTTTCCTGATACGCTATATCCCCATCGTTCTCGGCGGAAAAATATCATCTCTCTGGCCGAGAAACATCGTAAATGAAAACAAGAAAAAAGAAAGGAAAGAAAATAACACACATCGGAGAGAAGGAGAGAAAAAAAAACGCAAGTTAAAACGCGAGTCTCCTCCTTCCTTCTCGTCCTTGTCTTTTGAAAAACGATAAACTTGCGGTAGTCGCGTTGTGGAACTACCATTTGTGGAACTAACATTTGTTGGGCTCGAATGGAAAAAAAAGAAATGGGAAGAGTATCCGTCCTTTGTCGCGTTCTTCTCTATATGTTTTTCTCTTCCCTTCACCACTACCACCCACCTTTTCCGTTTATTCCTCTATCGGTATTCTTGTATATTCGTTTATCTATTAATCGTAATCATGTATCGACATTCCATTCGTTAAGGATCTTCGAAAGATTAATCAAGATCATAAAACATAAATCCTACAAAAAAACATATCCCTCCTGTATCATGGAATAATTAGCCGATAATCTTATTTCAATAACATCATTAAACGTCTCTCAAATCTGATTACATTAATCCCTCATTAATGTAACTAATATAACATGGAAATGGTAGAAGGTTCGAAAAAGGTACGATCATATTTATCGGGTTATCATCATCATCGGTCATAGTCGAATATCTCACGAATCAAAGTCAATGTGAAATCAATACGATTACTAACACAAGACGTTATTTATGTGGAAATCTAATTTCGCGTAAGAAACATTGTAAACGTCCCAGTGTCGTTGGATTATTAACGTTTCTCTTCATACAATCAACAAATATATATATGCATATATATAATTATAGATAAATATATTTTGTAGTGATCTAGTCACACGATTTTTTAAGCTTTAGGTGAAATTTCAGGTGTAATAATAGACGAGGATCAATTGGACTTTAATCAAGACGTACAAAGCCATTGTTATTGCGGACTTCGTTCGTCGGCTCCAACGAATCACCTTCGTCATCATAATCATCATCATCATCATCATCATCATAATTATCGTCATTTAACGTACGTCGATAGCGCAAGAAGCGAGAACAGTTTAGAAGATATACCATTTGGTAAGCACGCCTGTAAGGACGTCAATTGTAGTATCGGGGGGCATGGTCCTTCGATGTTAACAAATCGAGAAGTTGGTCAATCAAAATTGACTGATGTTGAATTGGATGCTATACAAGTGATGGGTGACATCGAGTTTAGACATTTACCCGAAGCTGTGAACAGAGAGATCATAAAGAATAGTCGAGAGATAGTGTTCGAGGAACAGGAATTTAGGGATAGTGATAATTATAAGGAAGAACATCAAGGAAGATTAAATCAGCTTGGTTCGAAGAAAAGTTTCGTCAAGTATCATCCCCTTCTCGACGAGGAAAGAAGATCATTGAATGGTTCGGGAAGAAATCTCAATAATAGACATTTTTCTATAGGATGCGAAGAAGGTAGAAGATCTTTGAATGGTTCTAGAAGAAATTTGAACGGTTCCAAGAGATTTCTATTGTTGGCTATCGATCGATCTAATAGCAATAGAAATTTAAATACTATTACCAGCGGTGAAAGTTTAATCGTTGCTAGACGTCACACGGGTAGTAGGGAACGTTTGGATGGTATCAAAAGAAATATTGTTTCGGGTATGAAAGAATCTAAAGAGATACATGAAATTCCTGAAACGAAACATCGATTAAACGGTAGCGACGTAGAAGTACACAACAGAATTAGTATAGAAACGGAGAAAGCACCTAACAGAGGAAAAGCTGAACTTCGTGAGATTTTGACAAATGCCGAGGAAGGACAACATTTTTCCGAGAGATCATCGATAGGTCCGCAATCACCGATCTCGGATCTCTCTCCAGAATCTGGATTCTTCGAAGGAAATCAATCGAGTCCGGAAAGTAATCGAAGATTTAGTCGAGTTCCTAGCATTTCTACTAGAAATCGAAGAAGTTACGAGAGCGCTCAATTGCAGGACGTTAATCAAGCCTTTTCGAAACGAGACAGTGCTAGCAGCTCGTCCGATAGTGATGGACAACAAAGCAAAACTTTAATTGCCGATGTTGAACCAATAGCCAATGGAAAACAACAGAACGGTACTACTTCGAAACAAACGATCTCTTATACAAGCGTTTGATCATTTCAGTGCCTTTTTTCACAAACACTTTTAACCTATTTTCGTTTGTACTATTACTCTTTCTATCCATCTATAATATTAAATAATATTATTACGAAGGAGAAATATGGGAAGACAGCAGTTCGCTTTCGACCGCAGGACGGTCTAATTTTTAGCTAAATAAATTCGAATTGTTTCAATACAATTCGCTTAACGAATACCATTGAATACAATGCTACTCGTGTTATCGTGATATCCTATTTCTAATGAATTCATTGGATTAGCTTCGCGTATCTATCTAAATACCTATCTTAAGGTATAATAATTTATATAAATATATATCCATTTATCGCTCTTACGTGAGAGTTAGATGAAAACGACACAACGTGTTTCCCGTTAAGTTATCAGATTTCCCAAAGCTATTCTATTCTCTTCGTTTAATCTCTAAATTATATTTAGAGATTCCCAACGTCGACTGCGATTCGTACCACGATATTTACGGATATTTTAGGATTGTAAGTTCGATAGATGATTAATTGAATAAATAAATAAACAACGAGAACAACGACGACGACAACGACGACAAAGACAAAAATACGAGCCCAGAAAGACAAAGAACGATATAATAAAAGAAATACGGTTTAATTAATTATCTTTTTTTTACAGTAGCGAATCTCTTTTTAGTCTTTTCATTAATTATTAATTAATTTTTGGCTGCATATTTATTATCCCCGAAGTTTATAACGTATTATAAATAATAGATGCAATTATTTGTATATATGAAGCATTTTAATTAGTTATTACGTATCGACGTGCATGTAACGTAAAAATATATCTTACACGTAAGTACGTAGTATCATTCCTTTTTCAACGAATCGCAGGACGAATATAGAATCGTTAACAACGAATATAGACAAATTATGCAGATAGTGTACTAGAGCAAAAAAAAGAAAACAAATCAAGTGTCTTCCTTTCGAATATAGAGATATGGTAATGTCGTATACGCGTATATTATCTATGCCTGCCATCGTGATTACTCCGAAATCATTTCAGAGAAAATATTTGTAATAAAGATGAACTCAAACATAATCGATCTTCTTTTTTTCACCTTAAAAAATATTTTTTTTTAAATATATACAATCATTCGAAGTCACAATAACGAGATATAAAATTTAATATAATATATTATTATATCCAGCAAAATATAATTGCTATCGTTTGTTCGTATTTATATATTTTCTTGCAAAGCAGAGCCAGAAACATTTTATTTGATTAACGAATGAAATAATATAAAAAAAACTTATTTACATATATATATATATATATATTTTATTCAATTATTGCAGTCAACTAGCCAACCATAAAATATATATTTCACGTATAACAACATTTATATATGCAAATGTTAGTACATATAACAGTAATCGTTTGTCAGTAAAGTCTCACGTAAAAAAAAAAAAAAAAGAAAAAGAAACAGTTAAAGACCAAACGGAATGCATGCAACAACTAGGTGAACACCAACACCTGTATCAATATTTTGACAAACAATATTAAAAAGATAACTCATTGTAAGATATATATTGTGAAGAAAAAGAACACAACGGAAATATTAGTAAAAAGAATTGAAATATTATAAAAAGAATCGAGAGAGAATATTTCAAAGCTTTACTCGAGCGAGTGCTCAACGGTTTAAACGAATTCGCATGTATATCGGAAAACAAGCGAGGAAGGAAAAAACAAAAAATATAATATATATTATTCGTTACCGATTTGTGTTATTCGAGGTTATATAAATGTATGTACGTCTCTTGAAATATTTTATTTTTAAAACTACTTAGTCCTCTTCCAAAACTCTTACTCGATTTAAATACAGCAATTTATTGCGACATGCTGACTTGGCGAACGATGCAAATAACTCAAAGGTAATTCTCGACGACAGCGCAGTATTAAAAGGAACGAGGAGGAGCATGATCGATATTAAAGGTAAGTAGTGCATAATACTTGCCAGCTGTTTAACGTGACGTACGATAATTATTATTTGATTAATGAATAAATTCATTTCAATATTCAAGTACAAATAAGATTCAAAAATACATAATATTAAATGATTGTAATTATTCTGTTTTATTTGTAACTTTTAATTATTATTATTCTGTTTTGTATTGGTGTTTATAAACAGCTTGCTTACACGTGTACACGATTATAATGTTTAATTGATTAAATTTCGGACGATCATAATTTTTCTAACAATTGACAGAATCAAACAAGGAAGATGAAGAACTACTGTTACCAGATATTGGTACCAAGAAATTCAATAAATATTCCGAGTTAAACCTCGAGACTGTGATTATGAAAGGAGTTGTTAAACAATTGGAAAAGTGGCCTTCTTATCTTTTCTTTGTCTTTTTTATTGGTTGCATTATAATGGTGAATCTTGTCTTGCTCGTTATTGCAACTGCTACTTTTTCTTTACCTACGAATACTACGAACATTATTAATAATCGGTATGTTGAAAAATTGAAATATTTCTTAGACGAGAGAGTTCTAAGTTCTAATATTTTTACAGAGATGAAATTAATAGTAGATCAATTAACGTATACTCGGTTAAACAAGAAGATCGTATTTGGTCTATGATAGATCTCTGCTACATTGAAAGTGCAGCACGTGAGAATCCAGAATTAAATGTATAAATCACATTTGAACGTATTTTAATTGAACAACTAACTAAAGACAACAAATTTTCTTATTAGATCAATCTAATTAACATATATAAAGAAAAACCTAAAGAAAATACTAAGCAAGACGTTTTAGTAACGAAGAAATTCGAGCCTGAAACTATAACAGTTACAAATACGAACAAAAAAAGCAGATCTTTAAAAATAATGCTAGAAGCTCGTTTGAGAGATGAACTTGTTTTTAAATATGAAAACATTAATACCCAGAATATCATCGTAGACAATTTCTTTCAAGGGTAAGATCGATCACTGTCATATTTTGCTTTTGTTCAATTTTCATTTCGTTATCCATCATGATCCATCATTTTTCAGTACCAACCTTTCTAAAGTTGTCGGAAATTTAAATAATAAAATCTTAAAACTAGCTACCGAAGCGTATTTCATTTGGAATTCTTCCGGAATTGCTATTAATCCTAAATTATATTGCAATTTGAAATATATTTCACATGTTATGTGCAGGTAAATAAAATTATATTAATAATGTCATAAATAAAAAAAAGAAAAAAAAAAACAAAATTATAATCGTTTATCTTCTATCGTAAAGAAAAGAAAATGAAAAATGTGTATTGGATGCATTGGCAACTATCGATCCTCAAAATGATATTCAAGCTGCTGGAGTACCCTGTCAAGTATTTCTAGGATATTTTATAAATGAAATATCGAAAAACGATTCGATTCATAAAGGAGAGGCATTGTTAAAGTCCATAAACAGTTTTTGTCCGCGGTATGAGAAATGTTTTGTATTAATCCTACAAAATTATCGAACATATTTGATATTAAAAATATTTTTTTTAATTCATTTGTAAATAATAATTGATTTTAAAACATAATTATTTTCATATTTATTGTTTCTTTTCACAGGACACATTCTTGTAATGAAATTAGAATATTGAAAGATGTTAAAACGTGCACATTAAATAGCTCAAAGTGTCCAATTGTTTACAATTACTTGCTACCTCATTTATAACAAAAGTATTCTAATGAATATCGTAAGTAATTATATTTTTTGTAAGAGAATTACACAGATTAAATGAAATTTAATTGTTTATATTTAATGCGTCGAATAAAAAAATATAGCCGAAAAAATGTTTTTTTGATAAATAACTTCCTTCATTTGTACGTTCTATATTCATAAAGTTGAAGAACACCCAACCACGCCCAGATTTCTCCAGCTGCGTGGGCGAAAAATAATAAAAGTTATATCAACAAATATTTTTTTCTTAACTATGACATTAATATCAATCAATAAAAGAATGTAAATAAGCGTTGGTCACTAATTTTTTAGATCTATTTTTTAAATCTATGAAATATATATGTTAAAATTCTTCAAATATTACACATACGTATTTATACGTAAAAATAAAAACAAATCTGTGACAAACATTGAATTAAATTCATTCTAAAATTGAATAAGTATAAAATAAATCGTACTAATCATTAATAAAGTAACAGTCGTGTAAATACTAGCCGTTGATAGGTGAAATTTTCGAAAGAATAGATAAATGGCAAGAATCGCATAACTGGCGTCACATACCAAATCAACCAGATACAAAACTATCATTGGAAAACTCCATTCTGGATTTTTCTAAACGAGATTAAACAATATATCGTAGATTATATCAAGTGAGGTATTTAAAACAGGACACCTAAATAATTCGATTGCTATTGATAATAGAAAAAACTTTCTTGATTTCGAGGATTTTGTTACCTATTTAATTAGTTTTTAAAAGAAAATATTTTCCATAGCAATTGATTTTGAAAAAAAAATATATAATTCCATTTAAAAAAAAGCGAGTTGACCTACGCATATCCTCTACGTGTCTACCTAAAAAAAAAGAAACTATTTACATGAATTAATGCCACCTTAAAAAACAAGTAAGTTTCGTCTGACTTATTTTTTTCTATCACCGATAGCAATCGAATTATTAAAACGGCCTGTTTTACATACTTTACCTGATATATTCGGAGATTTAAGAAATCAGAAAAATTTGTATTTTTTTCTTACCAAGATAAGAGAATAAAGAAGCATAATAGAAGTAACTGTGTAAACGATAACGCGATTAAAGGGATATCCCAAGGTCAATCTGACAAATGTTCCATCTCTTTTTTGATAAGCTGAAGAACCATAAAGAGTTTCACCGTTCTCCAAAATATCGTACTCCAAATTACCATTGATAAAACTATGATAACACACGATCGAAACGATTAGAAGCAGTAAATATGCTTGGATCGTTCGATAAGTTTCTCTTTCCTTTTCTATTTCCTCTTCATTCATCCCTTTTGTATCTTCGATTCTATCTTCTTGATGAACTATCATCTTTAATAATCTCTTACGAACTGTTACTGATGTGCAAGAAATCGAAAAATTGTTTAATGCGAAAAATTTTGTCTATGTTGAAACTGCAAAGCTAAAATGTGTTATTCAAATTCGATTGAAAATCGAATTGGAAATGTTTTGCGATTGATTAATGCTAAAATTGCTAATTTCAGATTATCATAAATAATTCTAGGCTTTATCTATTCTCGAATGATTAACCAAGCATGAGAAATTGATTTACAAAACATAAAATGCAAGTGAATTTTACAATTACTTTTTGATATCAATCGTCAACATGATTTATATATTTTTTAAACGTCACTGTATGCCTCGTAATTGATTGGAAATGCATCGAAGTTCTATAACCTTGAATAACAAGATCGAGAGAAAGAATTTTATATATACATATAGTAATTAGTATTTAACGAACAATGGTCAAACATAGAAAAATGGCGAAAGCTTATAAACGTGTTGTTGTATCTTGCGTAGGAACGATAATGGAGAAAAATACAAAATCTGTAAGTTAAAATCGTTAAAATTTATCCCATAAATAAAGCTTAATGTTAAACAAATGACTAATCAGAACTAATCGTTTAATCGTTTGAAATTACGAAATGCTTACACTAGAGGGCAAAAAATAACAATAATTTTTATGAGTTTTTAACTTGAGCAGCCATTATCAAAAAATTCTTTAATTAAACGTGAATCTATCATTCTAATAATTTGTTGTAAATATGAGAATGCGTGGAAGACGGAAATATAACGAACATGATGGACGATTAGTTAGCTATCCATGTGTATCACTAATCCCTATAACCTAATCGACTTTATATGTTAAATAAAACAACTACATAACAACTTGAAATTTCAGCGTCTTGGTAAAATGGTATGCAGCCTGTGCGATCATTATATTATGGGGAACCCATTATATGTCATCATGCTGGGTATTATTGGGACTGTTAGTCCATCATAGTACTTGTTAATTATTAAATTAATCATAAACGTCTGTGTACATTTGCGTGTACATATTCGATCGAAGCTACACGATTTTTACAGATAATTTCATTATCTTTATGTATTTTAATTTTTATTCAGGTGATAACAACATTTGATGTCATACGTACAATGAATTGCAAAGTACCAATCAAGTGTTCATCGCGTTCTAAAAAAGAAGATTTGAGTGAGTTAAAGAGTAAGTTCCACGAAGGACTTGTCATTTACTGGTTATGAGTATTTGAAAGTTTATAATTTTGAGTTTATAAATTGTTATTATAAATATAAAAACATATATATTTATAAAAAAATTCTAATCTTTTTTTAATTAGCATCCGCGGAGGTAGAAAGAGATTTGAAACTAATGACTTCCATCCTCGGAATAGAGCACTATACATTGATAATGTTAGGTGCTATTACAGTGAGTATAATGTAGCAAGAAAATATCATAAAAATATAAAATTTCACTCAACTACCATTTATTAGGAGTACCCGATGCTATACATCCCGTGGCTGTTGATGCAATTATGTGTTATCATCGTTGAGATTATAGTATTTTTTGTGAGACTCTTTTTAGACGGTTTACATGTAAAACGCGATGAGATATTACCAGCAATATTAATGGTTCACAACTGGTTGCAAGTATTTTGCCTGTTCCATCGACAAGCACGGAATTCTATCCAATAAAACAAACGATATAATATTTCTCAAAGAAGAACAAAAATCAAACTTTACGATTTACCGTTTTGTTCGTTCAAACAAACAAAAAATACATTTAACTCTTGCGTGTATTACGTTGTTTGTTATTTAAGACATTAAAAATGATTTTGTAAACGGAATATTGGTGGACAACGAACCCATCCTGTTCAAAAATAATCAAACATAATAAACGAAATTAAAAAAAAATGATTATAAAGCCAACAAATGCTTCCAATTTCTCGTTTATCTATTTTGCAATCAATTATTTTTTTCTTTTGTTTTGTTCAAAGTGAACTATGTCAATTATGTGTAGTAATGTATACATTTGTACATACGTTCATAGTTAATACATACATTCATACTTATAAATATGCACGGCAAATAGATATGGTGATTAAAAGGAAACGCCCATCAACACGTCACGCATTTAACCTTATTAACGCAAAATTATAACGAAAAAAAAGGATAGGAAAATCTCTAAACGAAATGAAAATACTACGAGATAAAGTATTCGTTAAAGGGATATGAATGTGAAACATAAAAATCTTGTTAATAGCGGATGGTACATCAACGTTAAAGATGACCTTACGAAGAAACACGTTTCGAAGGTTAAAACTATCACTAATCTAATTAAAAATCTAATAATCTGACATTCAAATTTCAAATTTCCGTTATAGATCGAGACACTTTACGTGATTATGATATGTTTCACGACAAACATTTTGAGTTTTATCAACGTCGAAGCAGGAACTCGTGCAACTCTTGACAATTTAGCACCTAAATCAGCCGTATTCAATGCTCTTTTTCGGCGAAATTATAGTAGTTATAATTTAGATTTCAAATAAATTAACGATCTTGTTGATTATGGTAATGAGTTTTTAATGATATTTTAGATTTGAAGATAACAATACTCGCAGCTAATGTTATTACGGGATTAATAGCAACTGTTATGGTAGCTATCGGTGAAAAGTTTAGTATTCCTTATTTTTATTTACCATGGCTGGTAAATACTATCAACGGAATTGGATTTTACGAGGGTCCTATTCTTATAAATTTGGCTTACACTCTTTTACCAAATTTAGGAATTCCAACAGGATTATTCATATTTATGATGTTGCTTCTATATGGTAATATTTGATTGAAGACATTTTTCCCGCCATAGTTTTAAATACATTCATTTTAAGAATCACGAAAAAGAATGGCGTTTATTTATTATAGTTGAGGAAATATGCGTCTGGAATGAAGTATTTACCAGTTTTAAACGTTGCTGGTTTAATTATAGCAAGAAAAAATATGCTATCATCGAAAGCAAGGAAAATAATATTTCAGAAAACAATGGGAAGTTTCTTCCTAAAGAAAATGTGAAAAAAAATCGTATCCTACTTCTCGATAAACTTAAATATCAAAGAAGATCTTTCGATTCTTATAATAAATCCAATAATCCCTTTTATATTAATTCTTGTCTAAAGAAACAGTTACGGTCATAATTAAGCATCTATTTTAATTGCATAGAAAAAGAAATGCAACTACTATTTCCGGGGAAAAAATTGACTAATTTAAATTAAAATTGTGAAATACGTGAACGAGTAGGATAAGAGTTGCATCTAAAAGACACAAATTACGTAACAAATATATGTTTACTTTCTTAATTTAGATAATTTGCGAACAATTAGTAATAAAAATTTCATCCACCTACTTGTTTAATTTTCCTTTCAAATTGAATATGCCCACGCATTAAATACATCAAGAGTAATAAAGTATAAATGACAAATAGATCAATTTTTACTTTGATTATAATTATTTTTCAAACATTTGCCACTTTACATTTACTAAACATAGAGCAAAGAAATTTCTAGATCGGACACTACACAATTATTAAAGTGACGACAAATTTATTTCTGTACCAGATAGATGGCTCCTCAATCGCACGATGAAAATTTCTTCGCGTTCATCCAGAAATTATATTCTTGTGCCGGTTGACGATCTATTTCTTGCAACGGTTCGAGAAGTTTTCGTTTGAATCAGTAATATATACAAATTCGTGAATCATTAAAACACTCATCGTTTTCTTCAAAAGGTGACGAAGAGAAATTTGTTTGCTGTCGACCTATTTTTTTGGCTTCTTGTCTATTTTCTTAGAAAAAGCAAGGTACGTGCGAATCCGTTATTTTCCATTTAACGAGGTTAACTTGGTCGAAATAAAAACCGTTATAATTCGACCGTTGCTTTCTTTAAAGATTTCTTTTTGCTGTTGACAAAAAAAATGTTAAGAAAATTTAATAAGAAAAAAATATTCAATATCTCTAACCAACCTATTTTTAATCGTTATCTTCTAATTAAAACATGCACACTTGTTTCCATTGTTTACCGTCTTTTCAGAACCGCGAAATATTTTTTGTCACCTCCTCTCGACTAATTCATCTACATATGTATTTTTATATAAAGATTATAGAAATACGTGATTATATTCATATCAAATAAATAAGATTATCACGTGTTTGACAAATTGGTGGCACGTATTATTAAGGAAAGTGGGTATGCGCGCGTTAAATTCTATTTTTACCAATGGCATCTCGCCTCCTGAGCATAACCTCACTGATTCATACAATTGTAAATTACGAAAGATTATAATTTTAATATCTTATCTTTTAAATCTTATGGGAAGATATTTTTACGTATTTACACTTAGATTTTAGTAAGTGTTTCTTTTTCTTTCATTTTATTGCATTTGTGATACATTAACTCTGATATAACAAACAACAAGCATCAGGTAAAAAATATGATAATTAGGAAAATGTTATCTGTGAAAAAATGTTTTTCGTTTTAAATAATATTATTTTTTATGATCGCTTGGACAACAGTTTTACACCTATCGTGAAAATTTCAAAATTTCTTATGTCATACCAAAGCTCGTTTTTTTCCAAGTATCAGGCATTGTTTATCCAAAAATACCTGAAAATGTTTATTCTTTTATTTTATTTTTGTTTTTTTCTTTTCCTTTCTTAAACATTAATGGACGAATCTTAGCTCACAATCCTTTCATTTGCAATATATTTTTTGTTGGCTTTTATATCATTTTCGCTGTAATAATTCGTAGCAAAAGCTAGTTTCTTATCGCACATATTCGATCGTTGTTTATATTGGCTGGAACAATTTTATGCTAAACTATGCACTTTACAAACATGCTTATTACTTTATTTATAAGGCGATTGGATTGTACTAAATAAGATAATAATAAACTTATATTATATTTTAAGATTAAACCTTGAAGGCGCAAGTTCAAAAAATGTTTACTTTACTTTCAAACTGTTTCAAAAATATTGAAAACAAAAAAAGAGAAGTCAAATATTTTAAAATGTTAATAAGAGATAATGAATGTGCATATTAATATAAATTTTTACTCTAATCGTTGTTAAACGACCTCTTAATATTAAATTTGGTTAAATTTCATAAGATTTATAAAAATGAATGCAACTATAAATGGAAGAATCCTTGGATATATTTACAATCAATTTAATTAAATTAATCAGCTAATCCTTATACTCTTCAATACGCCTTTTTTTTATTTTAATTGACTAAAGTCAGATTACCAGAAACAGTTACCATATTTCAAGCTTTTGAAGCTTTATCAAATAATAAGGGAATTTTCAATATATCTATTAAATATTCTAAAATTTGTGTTCATTGAGTAACTGTTTCTTGCAATATGACATAATTTGACTGTTAACAAAAAAAGCTGAAATACAAGGACAAATACTGTTTGTTCTTTCAGTCTGAAATCCTATACTGAATATAATATTCTCTTACGAATGAGAGATTTTTCAACGAAAATCTGTGTGTATAAGCATGTTAACGATAATGAAAACTAAGTTCGATCTCTAAAAATACCTACGTCAAACGAATCCTTCCAATTAGTATTTACTCGTGTCGAAATAAGCGACCTAGTAGAACAATAGGGATTTTTCTTAACAGGTACAAAAGATTGTATTTAGAATATTATCTAACTGCCACAATCGTAACTATTCTGTCATGTGTTTGGTAAAGATTAAACTTAAGTACAATTTGTACCCCCCATGCGTACGTAGACTAAATGCTCTTTTTGTAGAGAAATTGATAATGCCTTCGAGATGGTCAATTTCATTGAATATTCATAACTCGATAGAGATTTTTCAAAACGGATGCCGACTTGACGTTCTGATACTGCAAAGATCGAAATATTATAACTATGATCATAAATACTTGCATACCCTTACTCAACGTTACATTAACAACACTTACGACATCGTCAGTTAAATGCAAAAGCTTTCAAAACAAAAAATAGAAAAAGTAAAGCAGCAAGTCGATACTCCGTAATAAATATATAAGGTTTATAAAAATGTTCGGTCATCGACTTGCTGCAAAACTTAATCAGACGACGATTTCGATCGATTACAATATTCATATTTAAATCCTTATCAAATTGTAAGATCATAGTTACACCTCGGAGATTCAACAATTTATCCTCCATACCTTGGAAGAACGATGAAATATATTTTCATTCTATACATCATCATCATCATCATCATCATCATCGTATCTAGCGTATTTCTTCTTGATCACATATATATGCGTGCGTAATTCAAATAACGCGTAAAAAGAAATACGCACGTACGTACGATCTTTATATTCTTTTTTCCTGGGTTCGATTCATCTCGAAAAAAAAATTATTTCCTTTGTCTTTCTAAGTCTTCTCATACTTAATCCAAGAATCTTCTATCGCAATAGACACCAGACATTAAATGACCTTAAACCTCGAAGGCCTCCCACTGCTACGCGATCATGGCTGCGATTGGACTAAAACGCATTATCTTGCTAAGCAAAATCCAAGCCACTGATGCGAGAGCGCAAAGGGTCACTCCACCCCATCCAAAATCCATGCTCCAAGAAGTTGTAAAACGGCGTGCTCTTAGTATAGCACGTGACACTGGGCCACCTATCACGCCATCTTCTGGACCATTAATTATGCGAACACCACGATCTTGAGCCCTCTTGAAGTGGATGATGGTTAATGTGAAGAGCGCGAATGTTGCTGCAATGTTTTATCTCTTTTGTCAATTCTTTTCTATTTTCATACTTCAAATCAAGGCAACTGACGTTAAATGTTTTTCTTCGTTTGCATTCTTGTTTATTGTGTTTTTTGCTTCTACTATTTTAACAAGTGCAAGAATACAAATTTTTTAAATTATTATGTGTTAAATATATATACTCTCTTGAATTTATATTTCAACCACAAATCGATTTTCGATAGTAAATGTTCAGTTGCCTAGCTTTGTGTATGATTTACATGCATAAATATATATATATATATATATATACAGTATATGTAAAGTATTCGTATCGGTTATTTTTTTGGTTAATAATCTTCTTCATTTGAGTGAACAAAACATATTACAACTAATGACCAATTTGCTAGTCATTAGGAAAAATTCCACGTATAGCGTATCGTTTTTTAAAAGAAAATACATTATTCTAATTGGACTGATACGAGTCGAGTGTTTCGCTAATTACGAACCGAATACATTCGTTACATTACGTCATAGATTAATTTTCACGAACAGTCAATATCTCACCTGCCAATAAATACATCACTCCAGTAACGAGAACAGCCGATATTTGATGTCTGCACAATCCAAAAAATCCTATAAGCACGGCGGTGCCAAGAATAATCAAACAAACGAGAGAACAAGAAATACTTAAATTCTGCATTCCTGAAACGATAGAATAATTGATCCATTTAATGTGGAATTTGTGTCTTTTTTAACGAGTAATAATAAAATCATTCGAAACTATATAATAAAAAAAAAATCCAAAAGCTAAATTCATTAACGTGATCATTAGTAGCGTTTAATTAAAAATTTTTGCAAGGTCAAGGATCATTATCAAGATATCTCGTTTAGAACGACTTGGCATAATTTAAACATTTCGAAAATTGTTGGTAGCGTTTCTTTTTTTTTTTTTTTTTTTTATTTCTCCATTCACGGAATATTAATTTTTAGAAACAAAATATTAATATAATACTCTTATTAAACATGTTTACTTAAAAAAATTGGTACGAACACGAATTTAAAAAATATCGTTGTTCAAATAAATGTGAACTTATTCGATATAATCTTAATAGCTTCTAATGTCCATTCAAACTCTTATCCGCACAAGTTACTTTTTTATTATCCTATTACAAACCAAGGTCTCATTATAAAACAATCCCCACAGACGGTAGAGTATTTTCTTTTTATTTCTAACTGCTACTTATAGACTTTGTAACGTCATATTGTTTACTTTAAACTCACATCGATAAAAATATTCATTCGTAAATACACAAATTAAACACTTACTAATTCATCATTTTAAAATAAATCAATAATAATTCTCATGAGATCCACGAATCTTTCGAATTATTTTCGTATAAGTACGAATGCTTTTTCGTACTTGTTCCTCCTTTACACTCGAAGAGTTCGTATCATGCAGTCGATCTAAACAAGCTTGAATTTAATCGAAAAAATAAAAAATCATAAGAAATCATGTCAATTTTTTGATTGACCTGTACGCTTGAAGTCCATAGAACGCAGTCGATCTACACAGGGTTGAATTTGATCGAGAAAAAAAGAAATCATAAAAAATTCGTTAAAATCATGTCGAGGATCAAGTTAAAGTGTAGAAAAGAAAAAGAAATGTCAATAATCTCGCTTACGATTCTGCCATGCTGCGCGAATTTCTTCGTGTGCCTCGTCGGGTGTCAAGTAATTAATGCACCTTTCTTGTGGAAACCCCACCTGACCCAGTAATCGTATTTCGTCTTCTGAAATCAAAACAGAAGAAAAAAAAAAGAAATAAAACAAAATTCTTTTCTTCTTCGTCTCAAATTATTATCCCATTTTCGATACATTCGATGATTCATATAAACAAATTTAGTATACTTTATTTCGAAGTGAAAAGGTCGAACGACCGTAAGAAGAGAGAGAATGCACATAATTTCGTAGTTGAAATAGTAGTTTGCATTGTTCGGTGCTTAGCGTGACTGAGAACCATTATACAAAAGTAGAAAAACGTACGAGAAAACCAATTATCTCGTTGCACGCACCTTTCCAAATCTCCAATTTCATATCTTACTAAATTCAAACATACGCGTGATATTGTGACCTTCTCGAAAGAAAGTTGCATTAAAACTGCTCACTATATAACTTTCTGTAACCTTTTTTATACCTTTACATTAATTAGGTTTAGTATTTTCTTTGAGATATTTCGCTAGATGTTAATGTTCAACGAAACTGTTCATATTTAATAATCTTCTTCTTTTTATTACATGTCAAATAGTATTAACAAAGATCAACTTTGTTTCATATTAAATTTATTTCTGAAATAGAACACGTTTTACAAGTCAAGCAATAAAACAAGATTTTTAAAGTACGATTAAATATTAATTGCAATATGAAATTGATAACGTTTTGCCTTAGTAGAGTATTTGTAGAGTAAATTTACGTACTGTTATATAAATACTAAATGTAAATGTTACGAGTATAAATGGGTACTTCGTACCTTTTCATACAAGTGTATACACGTTTATATAAAATCCAGCTAACACAATGGAGTAAAATTATGAATAGTTTTTATTAACTTTTTAACAAAATCCGTTTTACTCCATCTTAAAGTAATGAGATTTAATTGTGTGTCTTATTGCATGACATGTTCATACACACACACATATATATATATATATATATATAAAAACAAAAAAAAATAAAAAAAGAAACTACACGATCTTTTTATCTCGTTTCATTTAAAGGCGAAATATTCTCGTAGTTTGAATGCTCTTGCGTACTCGGCTCGTTAAATCGTATTAGGAAAATGTATAACGCGTTCTATAATTTTCCTTACGATGGAATTAAACCTAGAAAGAGAAAAGGAAAAAAGAAAGAAAGTCAAGTTTTCCAATTAAATTTTCTGGATCCTTCATTATCGCCATCTTCGTCGTTATTGTCATTATGTCCACAAAAATACTCGACTTTATTCCATTAATTATTTAAAAACGTTTGAGCGACATTGATCCTTAAATTTAAATCAGATTTTTGCCTTGACCGAAGTTAAATAGAAATCTTCCTCTTGTCTCTTGCTCGTAAAACATTAAGAGACAGAAGAAATTCTTTTCATTTTTCTCGTCAACTTAACAGAACCGATCTAATTTTTACAACGACAAAATCATTCTTCTGGAAACTTTTTAATATTCTTTCTTTTTTTTATCGTCGTATATATGAAATTGATGAAAAAAATTAATTAAAAAACTTGTAATACTTCGGAAACTTGAATAATTCCAAAATAGTTCAAATTAATTGATATAATATTGTTTTAAAAACAAGGCCCAAACTTCAATACGCGAAATAGTTATACTAAAAATGATTAATGTTCTAAGCAAACGATTAATCCATACGATTAAAAAAAAAAGAAATGAAAGGAGCATCCGAAATGTTTGCGAGCACGCAATACCGAACTAGATACTTCCGATAAAATGTATAGATCCTAATCGAGTGATCGATATAACTGCGGCGGGCAGAGTCAAGGTAGTATCTCTTCAAGTAGACACACCCACGCAACCCTGAATCGTTTCTGTGTCTCTTTTTCTTTCTCTCTCTCTCTTTCTCTTCCTCCCTCTCTTTATGGTAACATCACAAGCACGAAAGTGTGCAAGTACTTTAAGAAAGATACGTCTTGTATATAAAAATCAATTTTCGAAGTGAGTCATCGTATCGAAATAAACGTATATGTAAACTCTCTCTCTCTCTCTCTCTCTCTCGTTCGATTCGTTCTCTTCCCGTTACTAACATTTCTAATGAAATATTTAAAGACCACATCAACTCTCGCTTACCCGATAACGAGACACACATAGTCCAAATTCCACCGTGCATTGGTACCAAGAAAGATCCACGTCTGCCGTGATGATGATTTCTATGAGCAGCCGGAGCCTCCAGCATTGCCACTTGACCATCCAAGTACCATGTGAGACTAACATTAACATGAATGAGGGCTTCCTTATTCCATCCAACCTCCTCCCAATGATCGGTCATTATTGCTCCGCATAACAATCCGGTTGCTGAAACATAAAACATTAGTATGTTAATAAAAGGAAATTAAAGAGGAGACAATTTTATTCGAATTCAATTCTAATTTGATATGGTTTAAAAGTAAGAATAAATAATTTTAAAAAGACATTTGGTAATTATTAAAGTACGCGACACACTGCAGCCAAACATTTCTCGGATTATGGAAATATGAAACTTCAAAAGAAAATCTTCCGCTTGGTGTGACTAAATCGTGACAGTTTTATTTATAAACTTTAACGTTGGGGAGAAAAATCAGACGTCTGAATAAATGTAATTTTCATGATTTCCCCCATTCGTTCGATATTCCGTCGGATCCTGTGACAGAAGAGATAAATTCTTTGAGTGGCACCGGTGTAAGAGTTCTCGAGAATAATAGAGTTAAAGAAGCACTTTCGTAAACACGCTACACATACACCAAGTATATACCTCTTCTTATGAAAAAGTATAAAGTTTGGTGAATTCAACCGGTGGTTGTTAGCCGTGTTGAACTTTTGATGATGATGAGAAAAAAAAAATAAACCGAAAAGGAAGAAAAAAACAATTTCAGAAGCACGCATTAAATCTTGTTAACAAGACAACCAACGTCAGTACGAACAATGTTTCTTGCGAATTCGGGTATGTGCCATACACTTACACACATACTGCGATAGTCCTGACCTTTTGACCTATCTCTCCTGACAAGTAGTTCGACACCGAAAATTCATCTTTGTTGCATAATCAAAAAAGTTCTCAATTACTATCGTTGCAATTATAAATTGTCGGAAGGGTAGAGAATATCTCGCTATCCCTCAGCCACGTGTAGTATCAAAATGAAGACATTTTACGCGGTATCCGCTCGATTTGAGATCATCTTTTTCGATAATACTCAAATTTCATTAGCGTTACACTTTTATTACGAGTTACACTTATCGAATCTGTCAACATTGCAACAATATTATAACATTTTCTCGCTAGGACAAAAGATAATATTATAAAACTTCTAACAAGAATCTAACAACAAATCGTGTATTCTCTTCCCGTCTAACGTTGTCACCAATTATAAAATAATAAAAATAGATGGCAGAGTTCGATCAACGTAACAAAATTTACTAGAGAGAACAATTACACACGGTTCTGATTCATACAATTATTAATCGCAGATGAGAGAAAAGAGATCAAAAATATGAAACGGGGGAAAAGATAAATTAAGATATTTGAAAAAGAATGGGAATAACAGAATGAAACTATTGGGGAGGGAGAGAAAGGGAGGGACAAGATTACCTGCAAAAGTAAGAACAAGCGTGGCAAATAAAAAAACGAGACGCGGACCAGGGCCCCTGGGTACACGAGTAGGCTCCATCCGCGCAGGTGGTGCCCAGGGCGACCACTGGCAGCCCACTGATAGCCGCGAGCACCACACTGTGCACCTTCTTCTCTTCTTGCTTGCTTTTCTCACTAACCCTTACTGCGAGCATCGCTACTGCCACCACCACCACCACCACGGTCGCCCTTTTCAACGTTGGAACATCTATGAATACGCCCTCTACATCTTGCGTTTTACGAACCGTACGAAAATCGACCGAATTCACCCCACCCTTGTTGGATGCTGCGGACAACCCTCTTTTATCTTTCTTTCTTTCTTTCTTTCTCTTTCTTTCTTTCTCTTTCCCACTCCCCCCCTCTCTCTCTCTCTCTCTCTTTTTGTTTGATATATTCTTTGTATTTATTTAGATTATATTTTATTATCCTTTTTTATTAATTCCCCATGTATTTCTTAACTAATCAACAACGTTCGAATAAATCATTTATGAAAAAATATTTATAGATTAATGGAAAATTGAATCTGGAATATAAAATATTGTGATATAAAATCCCATGGGAATTCTGATAGGAGAACGTATATCAGTGTAATTATAAATTCTAATTCATTGAAATTCGATAAAGCTTATATCTTTGCTTTACATCACGATGTTTGATATTTCAGAATAAATTTCTCTCATTGTACACACGCGCGCGCGCGCACACACACACACACATTATTAATAGGACTAGTCAATAATAATGATAAAGAGAGTAGATTAATTTCCTTGATGTAGGCAATAATTTTCTTGTTTGTACTCGTGTGCCAATCCTCTCGCTTTTCTTTCCTTTTTTTGAAATTCTATAAATTTGAACTTGTCATTCAATTTACAAGTAAAATTTAAGAAATAATTTCTACAACGTATATTGTTTTCATCCACAGATGGCCGATATCGCGGAAAACGTACCATTCACCGATCCTGCAACCGCAATATCTCAGGGTAGGCGACATCTTCTTGTACGTGATTATACGATGGCTGTAACCGCGCTTGCCCAGGCTTGCGAATTGCTCGCGAAGAAACACGGTGACACGGCAGACGAATTAGGAGAACCGTATCTTCTTTACGGGCGTGCTCTTCTAGGTCTCGCTAGAGAAGAGACTGGGGTTTTAGGAGGAGGAGTACCCGGCTCCGAGGAAGCTCAAGGTGAAGAAGATGCAGAGGACGATGACGAGGATGAAGAAGATGATGAAGCTGATGAGGAAAAGTTGAATAAAATTGATGAGAAAGAGGAGGAGGATGATGAAGAGAAAGAGGAAGATGAAAAAGAAACTAAAACTGAATCCGTGAAGACTACTACTGAAGATAACTTAGAGAAGAAAAACGAGAAAGATGAGAAAAATGTAAAAAATGAAAAAATTAAGGAAGAAGAAGAAGAAGATATAAAGAAGAAAAAAGATGATGCAAAGGAAGAGAAAACTGTATTAGAATCGGAAAGTGAGAATACCTCTAAAAATAATGAAACCACCAATGATGATGATAATGATGCTTCAGCGGCGACATCGTCGAAACAACAAAATGGTGAAAGTATACAAGAAAATGGTGAACATAACTCCGAGGATATCTCTAAGGAGGACGAAGAGGATGAAGTTAATAATCTTCAGGTAAGAAATAAATGATTTTTTGTAGAGATTAATTGAAAATTGAAAGTATCGATTAAAGAGAATGAACAATAAGTGAGATCATTTGTGTTAAATAAAAGGTCGCTTGGGAGGTACTAGAATTAGCGAAGTTGGTTTTGCTAAAACGAGGAAAACCAGGATGGAAATTGTTGGCTGATTCGTACCGATTACTTGGGGAAGTAGCCATGGAAGGAGGAAATCACAAGGGAGCTCTAAACGATCTACAAGGATGTTTGGATTTACTAGAAAAAATTGATCCACGGGAACCTAGGGCTATTGCTGAAATTCATTATCAATTAGGATTGGCTCATTCTCTAGGCAATGAATTTGATGCTAGCATAGAGGAATTTAATAAAGCTACTAAGCTTTTGGAATCTCGCATAAAAGAACTAGAAGCGGTCACTGAACCACCAAAAACTGATGATCCCTTCTATACCATCGAGGGAGAGATCCAAGAACTTAAGGATCTCCTTCCAGAAATTCAAGAGAAGATCACAGATATGCAGGACTTTAAAAATGAAGCCTGCAAGCTCGTCATTGAAAATCTTAAAAGTGAATTTTCGAGTTGTAGTTCGAACGGTGCTGGACCCAGTTCAGATACGTCGAACTCGTCGTCATCTGGTAACACGACAAATGTAAAAGTTGTTAAACCAGTTAGCGATATATCGCATCTCGTGCGAAAAAAACGTAAGGCTGACGAACCTGAAATGGAAGTACCCCTACCACCATGCAAAAAGCCTACTCCCGAAAAAGCTGTCTGAATTAAGTTTTAATAATTACGATTTAAATCGCTATTACGAACTTTTGCGAGACCTTCGCTAGGTGAACTAGATTTTGTTATATACGATATTTAATACTGAACGAAAGCAGTTATTTTAATAGCAATTCCTTCAGTTTCGGAACGATGTTATCTGAAATTTTATTTTTTCTTCTTTTATTTTCATCGACGGTAAAGATGTGAGGTGTAATTGCTGTTACAACAAAATATATTTCTTTTTTCTTCAATTTTTTTCATACGTAAAATAATAACGTAAACATTCGTTTATTTACCATTTACGCGATACAATAATTTTAAAACGCATTTTTGGAGTTCTATGTAAGACATGAATCTAGTTTTCGTCAATAGGATTCTGATGTAATTTGTTAAAAATAAATCTAAGGTTATTTTCGTGTGCTAAGTTTAAATAATAAAGATTGACATTCTGAATTTTTCTAAATGCTCGAATATTTTCATTTGTTTCAAATTATCCAAACCTATTATTATTTAAGATTACAATTAACACTTTATCTTTTATGAGTAAAATAGTATACAGATATCACTATGGATGGATTCTAATTGTACTTCGTTACAATTACAAAAATATTTAACTGTAACATGATACGTAAAAATTTCATACAAGTAATAGACTTACTTTTATATTCATTCGCCTAAAAGTTCCTCGATATCATCATCTTTATCAGAACTTTCCTGATATTGAACCGATGGTTTATATCCCAATGCTTCTAACAAATTAACGTTATAGTAATAACTGAGATTTATGCCAGGTACTAAATGTTTTAATTCTTCTATGGTAGCCCGAGCTTTTTCGGTATCTCCCATGTTTGCGTAATGTTGAGTAATAGTAGCAAACAAATCCCCACGACGTACAGATTGTTCTAAATCGGAACCTTGAGAGTCAAGTAATTGTCGAACTTGCAACATCGCTGTTTCCGTTTCGCCTCTGTCGAAGAATCTACACAAAAGAAAATAAATTATTAATTAATATTTATAAAATATTTTTATAAAAAAATATCAAATGTTTGCGTACTTTTTAATATCAATGTAACGTCTTATCGCAGCCATTCTATTATTAACTAAATCAGTAGCTCTTTTATGAAGATCTGGATCCCTAGGTGCTACCACTTTAGCAAGACATCTACTTGCTTGATTCAATGCATCTAAAGCTTTCTCATAATTTTGAAATTCGTCAATTTCTACTTGAGCACAGGCCACATAAAAATTAGCTAACAGATCCATAGCTTTGCCTTTTGAATAAAAGTTAATGATATTCTTTAAAATTTCAGGCTGATTTTGCCAATCCAATGATTGCAAATAATTGCCTGCCATAATATAAATTTCTCTTTGTCTCGAAACTTGTGCAAAAAAACAAATTTTTTCCGTGTCGCCGGACTTAAGTAAAGCTTTCATGGCTCTTAACTTGTTTCCAGCTTGCGTGAACTTCTTCGTAGCCAAATGATAATTTCCTTGATCAAACGCTATTTCTCCAATTTTTTCTAACGTATCAATCCTTCTCTTTTCGTGTTCTACATCATTCTCGATTTTTTCCGTTGTCATTTTTTCTGCGAGATCTTCGGTTAACGTTACGTTATGCTTTTTTATTAATTCTAATGCCTCCATATACTTCCTACCAATAGCATATAAATCAACAGCTTTATCTATTTGTTCATTTTGTACAAAATATTCAGCACACTTCTCGATAAGGACAGGATCGGAATCAGCATCAATGTCCATGGTAATAAGTTGCAATGCACTGAATTGTTGCATCCTAAAAGCTATATCCAAAGCTTTGTGCAATAAACCAGCTTTATGATATAGCAGAACAGCTCTATCCAGTTGTCCATTTTCTTCATAATATTTTGCAACTTCTATTTGCGATTGTCTGGATGCTAAAACTGCCAAGGGCCACAATTCCTCGGACATGTGATGTTCCTGATTAAATATAAAAATATAACACATTAATAAACGATAATATAATTTAGTTAGAATTCTTTCGCAGGTATATATATTACCTTGCATAAACGAATTGCGTTCGTATATGCCTTTGCTATCGTATAAAAATGGATGGATTGTGATATATTATTTTTCGACTCATAATGTGCAGCTAAGTGATAAGCAGATGCGGCATGATTTGTTCTCAAAACGAGATCGCATACTTCATCATCTCTATTAAAATAACACAATAATCTCGTCATGGACAACGTATCATTGGCTTGTTCATACAAACGTAAAGCTCCTTCCATATCTCCAGTCGATTCTATGTACTGAGCCTGCCAAGTTTTTATGTGACTAAAATGTTAGGAAAATAATTATTAATTGAGAAAATAAAATACTTATAAAATAATATTTAAATAGTATATGTATAATACTTACGGATCGTCACAATTATTTAAATATGCAGCAAGTTCTCTCGGTCTTGAAAGTAACATTCTTGGCACTTCGTATCTATGACAATCAGCTTTTGTGTACATATCGATCGCTTCTGCAATTTTTCCTTCCCATTCCAGAACTTTAGCGTAATTATAGTAACTTGTCCTTTCTCGAATTTTATTTTCATTCGATGCTAATTCTATGGCTTCTTTGAATTTATTACGAGCTTCCAAAAGTTTTCCCAATAAATCGAATCTTTTCGATTCGCGGAAAAGACGTTCAGCGTCATTCTTTTCAACATTTAACGTTAATAATATTATAATTATTTTATATATATGCATACAGTTAATTATTTAATTTATTTCAGATAAATACTTACATACAATCCAAGTTCGACTGCTAATATGCCAACTTTAGTTTCTAAACTTAAATTGTCATTTTGCATTGCTTGTTTCAATGCTTTTGCTGCCTTGGCTTGTTTCATGTGCCCCAAACATAAAAGAGCCATATTTAATTGTTTGGTCTTTACACACATTCTTGCTAAGCTTTTCCAAACAGCTTCGTTCTTAATAGTTTTAATAGATTTGAAAGCTTCATCCATATTAGCTATACTAATATAAAAACTAAAATCTAGAACAGCTTTTTTAGTTATGAGATCGCAATCTTCGAGTTCTTCAAAGTCTCGCATAAGTAATCGCATAACTTTACTATTTTTTTCAAGTACTTTCTCAGAATTTAAAATTATTATATAAGGCGATTGAACGCCCAATAATCTGCAGTTCTCGTCTGCTATTGACTTTACGTCTTGTATAGCAATTCCATAATCGGATGTAGCAAATAATGAAACGAATACTACAGCAGCCTAAAAATAATAAAAATTTTGAATAAAATAAATATAGCAGTTTAAAAATGAACTATAAAATACGTGCATCATAATTACCTCGTCATCAATTTCGTCTGATTTTGTAGATTCTCGTGTTTCTAATTTTTGTGCACGACATACCAAAAGCCTTGGGTCTTCGAAATCCCAGCAATGAGCAGTAACTAGTCTTCCTCTACACTTCATAGCTCTGAAACATTCATAAATCAATATGTTGACAGAATGTTAAAAGAATATTAAATTTTTTCGCAGCAAGTACTTTTTAAGGGATCATAATATCTTTCACTTCGCCTTAATAAACGCCCAGAGCACGTTCTTTTTCTTTTTTTACTATTATCACTTACAATGCAGATTCATCGTCGATCGTATCATCTGATTTGGCAAAATCAAATTCATGCATTTGATCACTTTCAATGTCCCATACATAAAGGATTGAACTAGGCATAAGATTAGCCATAGCAACAGTAATAGACACACATCGGCAATCTGAATTACATTTAGCTTCAATAATTTCAGCAAAGTCATTAATGGCTTCGTATGTTGCCATAGCTCTGGTATGTAACTCGATTTCCCTTTTACTTAAATCCCAAATTTTTAAAATACCATTTAACGATGCAACTGTTAAATATCGACCCGTAAGGTCCATGGTAATCGGTTCACCTTCTTCTGGCATTGTTGGTAATGTTTGTGTAATAGTACCTTCTGTTGATCGCAATTGAATAACTAACGGCGTCAAGATAATCAATGTATGTTCATAAATCAATATCTTTTCAGTATCACAAGCAAAACTTCCTATTATCATTGTACCTAACAAACCATCCTTTTTATTAATTCTATAAATTACGACTTGTCTGCTAGATGAAACAGCTGCATATTCTTTATTCACAGCAATGATCTGTACTTGAATGTCGGTTTTCAATGTATGCATCTGTCCATCTATCTCCAGTAAAATTTGTGTTGGACTAAGCTGACTTGCACAAACCCCGTCATTATATGCAGCGCACATCGATTGTTGATGCAAAATAAAAACATTTGTAATACAGTTAACTGCCAGGAGAGGATTTCTCAATAAAGTTGCACCCCATATCAATTGTTTAACAGTACCATGAATTGTACATGACTCGGGAATACTAGACCAACGATTTTCATCAGGATCAGTTACAATTTTTCCTTTCCATAAATAAATTGTACCTAAGTTTGTCCCAACAGCTAATGTATCTGGAAGAAATTGTATGGAATATTAATGAATGTTATATTTAAACAAATATCTTATTAATGTATGATAAATACCATTATTTTTACAAAAAGATAAGCTTGTACAGATTTCCTGAGGTGTGGCAAGATTACCAGTTAATGAATCAGGAGGTGATAAAACATATGTATCTCCAGTATGAAGATCCCAACAACGAACACCCAGTTCTCCAGTTAGAACAGCTAGTGTATTACTACCAGCCCAACAAATAGCAGGACCACTGCGAGGTACATCACTTCGACCACTAAGTTTCACCTGATCACAAAAATAAAATAATAAATGCATATTAAAGTGATCCTTATTTACTAATGCACATAAATATTTACTAAAAAAGTATTGATCATTTTGAAAATACCTTAGTTATTTCTGTCAATTGCCCAGTAATTGGATCTGCTTGGAAATATCCAATATTTAAACCTTCTGTCATAATAATAATAGAATCTCTAATCTGATGATACAATAAAAATTGTAATGTAACCCCATCCGTATTAAAAACTTCCATGCATTGTCCTTGAGCGTCAATGAAATATATAACTCCATTTGAAGTTCCAATATAAAAAGCATGATTATCTTTACGAGTTGAAACAGATATTGGTGCAGCAGTTCTGGGACGCCAATAACTAAAAAGATCTAATGCTCTTTCATCCCCAGCTACTGCAGCTTTTGCCAGATCACTAAATGTTTTTTAAATATTACATAATTTATATAATAATAAATATGATATTTTCATTTGAGAAGTCATTCAAAATTACCTATAATTTATGCTTGGTTTCATTGGAATAAACGCAATATGTGTAAAAGTTCCTTTTAGTTCATGATGAAAAACCATAAGTAATTGACCTCTGGAATCAATCTTCCAAGCTATTATAGAACCAGCAGCATCTGCTGATACTAATCGACTTCCATGCGGACTCCATTGTAAAATTGTTATAGGATCACGATGCGGCGTTACAATCACATTAAATTCATTGCTTCCTGTATCACCTGGCCATATCTGTAATTAAATAATAAGAAAAACAATATAATTAATGATCGTATAAATATCATATTGTAAAGGTATTAATGAATGTATCTATAAATTATTTTTTTTTTTAAATTATAAAATTATTTACCCGCAACTCTCCGCTTTCCCATCCTGCTGCAAGCCATCTCCTATCGGGATGCCAACCAAGAGCAGTCACCTGAGCTACGGAATGTCTTGAAGATTCCACATCTTGTAAAGGTTCTCCTTGATCATCGTAAACTGTTACAAATCCTCCCTTGTCTTGAGAATATGCTGCTACAGCTAACAGTAGATAATTAGTATGCCATGTTGTGTGAGTACTGATTGAAGCAGTTTCTGGATTTTGCACTCGCGTATCAAAATATAATGACATTTTTTTAATTATTTATCTAACTTCAGATATTTCAAGACTGACATATAAATAACTCAAAAATATGTTTAAAATAATTAATCACGTCATGTTTTGTACAATATTTGAAAGAAACAAGATTAAATGTATATATGTATTATACACTGCTTGTTAATAAAGATATTAAAAATAAGCAAATTATATTAATTTATATAAAAGAAATTTGAAAAGATATTTTCTTCATTATTTCTTTTCCTTATATTATTAATTACACTTGATTATAAAGTTTATAACAACCGCAATGTGTAGTGTTATTAGAATTGAAGCTTTTTGATTTAGTTGACTAATAGGTTGCTATAGAAACCAACATAATAAGCAGGATTGCCAAATTGACGATATTTACTTCTTAAGCTTATTGCTGATATATCTTTCATAAAAGGCGCTAAAATTCAAATAATTTCCGATGAATATATAATGTATTTGTATTATTTATGTAGATTTGTGTAAATAATTCATATATATTTATTTAGGTTTTTATTCAGATGTTGATAAATAAAACAATAAATTTAAATTAAAATAATAATGTAATTACTTATATACTTACATCCATTTATTAATATATATGACTTTATTACAAGAACGCTAAAAATAGTAATAACAATACGTTACCATTATATTCATTAGTCATTATTACGAATGTTATTTTTCAATTGACATAGTTCATTCTCTAATATATTTATTTTCTGAAAATTTTCAAAATATGTATATGAGAAGATTTTAAGATATTTTAAAATAAGAAATGAAATAGATTAAAAAATTGTAGATAAATAAAACATAAATTGAATAATTCTACCTTAAGATAATTCTGACGTTGGTTTTCAGCTGTCTCATCAGCTGCTGCAAAAAGCAATTTATATTTGTCTTCTAATGAATTGACCAAAGCATTTAATTCACGTTGCTTTTCTGAACATAAGGATATGTATAAATCAGTCTTCTGTCCTTGAAATTGTATGCATAATGACTTAATTTCCATATCTTTATTCTGTATTGCGAAAAAAAATAAATTTTAAATAAAAAATTAAACTATAAGAGATAGATAATAATTAATAATAAATGCTATAATTAAACCTTAAGGATATGATTAATTTTTGTTTCATAATCATATACAAGCTTGTCTTTAGATTTTTTAAGCTTTAATATAGTTTTTTTCAACATTATTGTTTTAGAGACTAAATTCTCATTTTGATTTTGAGATACTAGTTCTATTTCACTTCTCATTTTATCAAACTCCTGTCTCATTATTGCATTTTGATCTGTTAACATGGCTCGTAATTTATTTTCCTGAAAGTATACATTTAAATTATTTGATATAAAAAAAAAGTAAAATGATAGAATTTAGAAATTATAAACAATTACATCTTTTGTTTCTATTTCAAGCTTTATTTCCATCTCTTTTATTTTATTTGTCAATAATTCGATTCTCTTATTTCCTTCTTCATCTTTCTTCAATAATTCCAAATCCTTCTGACGAATTGAATCTATCTGTGTATTTATTTCTAAATCTTTTACTTTTAAAAAAACTTCATATTGCTGGTGCATGGATTCTAATTTATCTACACATTGCTTCTTTATTGCATTAATCTCTTCTTCCTTAGGAAAAGCTATTAAAAATCTTATTTTTCTATATTCAGCGTATTTAATTTCTTACCTTATCGTGAATAATTTTATCCAATTCTTGTGACATTGTTAGTAAATTGTTATTTAAACTTTCATTTTTACATTCAGCTTCGTGCAATTGAAATTTTAGTTTAGAAAACTGTTCGGCAACTTTATTTTTATACTGTTGAACATTTTCTTTATGAGTAGATTCTAAAACATTTTTTACTTTTTGCATCTCTGATAATCTAGTTAAATAAATAAATGTTGTATTCTTCTTACATTAATATATTGTTATGAGTAAACTTATATTTTGGTTTTTGAATGTAAAAAACAAAGCTTACATTTACACTCACTTAGCTTTCAGTACGATAATCTCAGAAGTTAGTTGTCTTATATTAGTATGCAAACTTTCATTCATTTCTTGATATTCTAATAATTCTTTATGCAAATATTTATTTTCCATTTGTAATTCTTTAATGGTAGCAATCGGTGAATCTGTATCATGGCTATATGTTCTAAACTGATTTCTATCTCCTATGTTTCCGTCATCAAATTGATCTGATGATGGTTTAAATATATGTGAACATTGACTTGTACTTGTAGAATTTGTATCTTGTATTCTCAATGTAGTATTTTGCAAATGTGTTTTATGTTCATTAATTCGTTCCTGCTTGTGATATGAAATTGTACTAAATTCTGACAGATCACTCAAAGATGAACTAATATAAACCTAAATCATATCGTTATTTAATTAAGAAAAAATAACAATTATATTTCTAATCAAATTTGAACAGCCACGCGCGTTATACGTTAATTATTAATTTATAAATTATGTTTACATGAACATATGAATAAAAAATTACCATGCGATATGATTTATTTAATGGTAAGAGAGGACCTAAAGGAGGAGCTTCACTAAATATACCTCCTACATGACCTCTTTTCAATTGCTGACATAATTCAATTAGATACTCATTTCTAAGACTGCGTTGAAAAGAAGAAAGATTCAGTTTATCGAGCCAAATTTTACATAATTGAGCATCTTCCGCACATGTTAGATTTAATATAAAAGGTTTCACACTAATTAATGTTTGTTTAAAAAATTCATCCTGTTTAAGAGCTTCTTGTTCATCGTGGTCCTGGAGCTGTGACATGATTTTATATTATTTGACAATACATTTTAACTAACAATGTGAAAACATAATGTTTTCCAGGAATGTTAAATTACATATTTTTTATAATTTTTTGTATAAGTATGTGAAACTTCAGTAGATATAGTAATTACTTAACAAATCTTTTCATAACAAATACAATATGGCCACAGATGTCACAATATTTCAAAAAACAAATGTCACTCTACTTATTTTTCTAACTAGAAAATATTTCCTTTGTTATTTCGCTTACACGAATATTAATGTTATGTTATCACAGAAACAAGCATTATCAGTATTTATTATCTTCATTTCAATTTTCTGATTTAATGTTATATTATTTTATTTTTTGTTGCCTTACAGAAGATCTATCATACATTAATAAACATATTTAAATGAAATAATTAATTTTTTCCTGTAGTATTAAAAAAACATAAGATTTATACGCATCATATGTATATTATAATAATTTTATAAATAATAGTTATAAATGAATACAAATTTTGAATATAAATAAAAGTTTAAGATTTCTTAATATTTTTATCATAAGTAATATTAATTAAAAGTATAAAACATACTTATATTTCTCATCTATTCTGTTAAATTCTATAAGCTAATAGGAGAGATAAAGTAAAGATGAATCTAATATTAGTATCTTTTGAAAATATGATAAACGCGTAATACGTACTTAACTTCTCGTATCATAATGTTTGACGATAAAATGCAATTTCAGTTAGTCTAATGAGTTCCATAGCAGATTTTCTCTTACAATTAGCCGAATATTCCATAATATGAGGGAACTGACTATTCATAATGTATGCATCATTTGGTGAGGTAGAATGAAAGTAAACTAAGAGAAAAACGACTTACTATCTTTTCATAGCCGAATATCACAGCATAGTTTACGATATGACAAAGTACGATAGCAAATGATATACGGTTGCTCTCATAGATTCACTTATGTTCAAATGAAGTATTAAAATAATTATTTCCTCTTATAAAATTACATCGCATACCACTTGCGTGACATTATACTTTGAAGCCTATTTTCTAATTTTATTACATCTAAAAAGAATATTTCACATTATATAATATTTATTTTTATTCTTCTTCCTTAAACTTTCTTATACTCTAAATTCTATTGTTTATGAATGACTTGCTGCATCCAAAATTACTTTCTGAGGTAAAAAATAAATAAATACTACATTATACTAAATATATTTTACGCGCGAGTGTTTATCTTAAGCTGATTTTCTGTTATTTGCTTCAACTCTGTTAGCTTTACTTTCATCGGTTGAAGATTTGTGCCCATCCACTCATTGATCATAAATGGAAAGAAGGTATTTTCCATATGAAGTCTTAAATACCCCTCCAAGGATGATAGTTCCAATAACATACTATATATATTATATAAACCTTATAGATTGCGACTATTTTATTTTAACAAAGCTATGTTACTTACCCCGAGAATGCAGGTATTAAGCCCTCCAGTTGCATAGGATTTGTATAATTGTTATCAATTTGCCATGGATTCATCCAAGTTAATATTCTGTTTAAATTTATATTCATACAGGATGCACATTTATATATTAAACAACAAACAATGCTAATAAATTCTACAATTATTTTTATACGTACTGGTCATTGACTAAAACATTTTGATATTTAGTTCTGTAATTTATGAACCACTCAATACCAATTGCTACTTCCCACCCAGGAAACGATAGTTCATTTGGTATTGTTTGTCGTGGATGAGGTATTGTTTGTAACTCTGAAGGATCTGAATATCCTAGACTCTTAGCAACTTGCACATGTAATTGTTCTGAGTAACCATAGAGCCATGCTTTTAAGCACAGTGCTAATGATGGTATTGCTGTAGGCAATAACTCACACATTGTAGCATAATGATCATACCTAAGTAGAAAAATCATCTTCAAGAAACTATTATTACGTATATTTTACAAAAAATTTACCTTGACCATCCAGTGAATGCTATGCCTCGAAATTCTTGAACTTTATTTACATTAGTACTTAATTCTTCCAGCCATTTCTCATGATTGCTTATATGATGTCGAATTATTGGAATATGTCGACAAGACCCAGTGGCACCTTTAAATGCAGTTGCTACCCAAATGTGTGGAAATATGATACTGTATTTATCCCAAATATCTATGAATAACATCGATATATTATTTTATTGCATTTAATTTGAATAAATAAATCATCCGAGAGACTATATACCTTGAGGTAGAGAAAAAGTTTCTCTAGAACAGTAGTGCCAAATCATTGGTTCAACGTATTTCCCTAAATAATACTCTGCAAACAAAAATGATATAATTTCAATCCAACATTTATTGAAGAAAAAAAAAAAGAGAAAATAATCGATCATTTAATAGATAAAATTAATTCAAATACCATTCAACACCTTCAAGTCTATTGATCTCAGCATATCATCCCACATAATTATCTTCAAATAAGGATATGTCTCTTGTATATATTGTGTGACAGCTAAAACATGCTCCAAGAATAAAGATGGTTTTCCATATTTACTAGTGGCAGCCCGTTTGGTACAAACAGGACAAAGACCAAGATGCCAGACTTCATCAGCACCTATGTGTAAGTATTGTATATCTGGATGAAAGTTAACTATTTGACGAATTAAAGATGTTACCAAAGTCATAGTTAGCGGATTGGATGGACATATAGAGCTTGGAAAGCGTTCAACTTCACGTAGAAAGCGCCATTCGTCATGCTTCAGTACAAACTGCAATAACGCATAAATGTACATGAGTTTAAATAATATCCTATATATTCTTAACGTCATTTATTATTTAATTACCTCCATATGTCCAAAAGTTTGTACCAATGGTACAACTGCCAAACCACAATCTCCTGCTATCTGTAAGATTTGCTTTCCCTCTAGAAGTGTATATCCGCTTGCCAAATTGATCGGTCTGTTGCTTCCTATTTGAGTAAGCTCTCGAGTGTATGGGAAGGTATCTTCCCATTCTAACAGTAATCCAGTGGCACCCCATGTTCTTATCAGAGGAAATAACTGTAATACGTTATGCAAATAATAATTATAAGTTATATTATCAAGGCTATATTACAAATTAGCATATATTCAAATATGTGATTATACCCATAAATAGTAAATACTAATTTATTTAATCTAACAAAACATATAAACAAAATATCTCATTACAATAATTAAATGTACCATTTAAACTAAAACCTCGTTGATAAAATCATTTGTTGAATCTTAAAAACAAAGAAAATCATAACTTAAAAATTAGATTACAACTTAAATTAAATTATGAATAATTGTAAATAAATAAATATTTCAAAAGTTCACTTAACTTTTTTCTTTTTTAATTCAGAAGGAATCACATTACTATTTATTCATTCATTCGTACGTGACGCACGTTCCATTGTCGCATCAAACTTACATAGAATCGTTCTTTCCTGTCTTTCTTCCCTTTATAAATCTAAGAGTGAAGGAAAACTAAGGTTTGTTCATGCAATATAAAAAAGAAATTACATTAATATTCTATTTGTTAAAATGAGGATATGTTATTATAGTGATTTCTTTGAAAAGAGTAGTATGTGAAACGAAAATAATATACAAGTATAATGCATTTAAAAGTATAGTTTATGTAATATTTTGTTCTTGTTTTACTTATAGAATATGATGATAAAATTTTAACGAAAAAAATAGGACACCCTGTATATACATACATATACATATTTACATATATATATACACATGATGCGTGTACAAACAGAACGATTGTTTTCTTACTTAACAAACCTTTTCGAAGTAACTAACTCGTGGAGGAGCGCCCTTCAAATCAAGGTGGACAAGTCTACAAAATAATTAATATCTTGTCATAACGTGGTATTTTAAATCTTAAAAGAAATAAATGAATAATTTTTTTTCTCTATAACCCGAGATCGACTGTTTACCTGTGCGAGCTAAACGTCAAGGCGTCCATCTTTTTTCATCACTACAACGTTAATTATTATAGCTTTCAAAATCTATCTATGCATATAATTAAAAATCATATCATTTACAACATATAATGTGTACACTTATATAGTTTTTTTTTATATCACTTTTATTCTACAATTCTTTCTTTTTTCTACCGACAATAATTAACTCGATACCCGTTACAATATGATAGTTCGCGCCATTTAAATTTAAATGTAAGTTCAGTACAAAGTATTATTAATCGTAACATTATATATACCAAAGGCAATGCAAAATGATCAAGCCACATAAGTTAACACAGATAGATATATATATATATATATATATATATATATA